TCTCCAGTTGGTCTGGTTATGACACTGTCTGGCAGTTGAGAAGCTGAGGAGGAACGCACTGCCTGAGTGCACTTGGAGGTTAGGACATTCAGGCGACGCTGGTGAGCGGATTAGGACTGATGAGGAAGATGTGTGGCTCGCTCGGACAGACGAGGCGGGGAGAGTTTAGTGTAGGATATCAAGACATTGCCCCACAGCGACGCCACTATGAACTCCTATGGTTTTTGGACTTTTTTTTTTTTTTCTTATTTTGACTGTTATCTGGATTTGCTCAATGGATTTTGGATTTTTGTTCTTTGGCTTGCTTGTACTGTTGTTTATTGCTTTTTATTTGGAGGTGTCACTACTTTTTAATTTCCAAGCATTTTCCAACTTATTTATTTAAGTCTGATTTTTGCTAAGTCGCCTCTCGGGTTCAACTAGCAGCTACCCATTTTGCCTAAGCCGCCCATTTTCGGTTTCAACTAGCGGGCCCCGATTTTGCCTAAGCGCCTTTCGGTTTTCGACTTAGCGGGTTTTTTTTTTTATTTATTTTTTATTTATTTTTTTATTTAGCAAAGAAGAAAGAACGATGAATGAAGATTTTATTAATGTTTACCGTGCAAAGGTGCCTACATATCTCCGCATATATAATTTTTTTTTCGAAGAGAATAAGGTTAATGTAGTTCGTTTACATATGCAAATGATTACAATTTTACAAAAATATCTTTTTTTAACTGATTAATTACAATGGATTAGTGAATGTTCCAAGCATCCAATAGTCAATAACGGCTCGCCTGACAAAATCTTCTCAACACATACGGTCCAGCTCAATGAAGACGGAACTTTCCCCGTGGAATATGACCGTTGTCTAATTTCCTTCAGAACCAAGAACCTACTCCAATTTTCCGGTCTTGACCTCTGTTAAAAATGTCGCGCATTCTTGATAAAATTGAGTTTGGTGGAATTGCTCGCATCGCTTCATCCTACCCAATGAGTGCAAATTGATAATTCTTAGTCCAATTTGCTTCACTGATCTGGCTTTTCGGATAACCCTCGCCGACTGAACCTCCCAGCTCATAGGCAATACTGCTTCATGCAATATACAAGAACGGTTCCCAGTAGGTGTTCAATTGAAGTCATATAATCCATAAGGCATTCGGCAACTGTTCATGCCAAACTTTGTGCTTCTAATTGTTCTTTGCAAATAAAACTTTTATGTGCTTATTGCAGCATCCACACCCGTCGTTTTGTGGAAGATAGGGTGAGGACTTTGATGATTGAATCTACGTCTTTTCACAAATTAGCAAAATCACCCCTGGAAGTGAGCTCCATTACCGTGTGAGTCTCGAATGCGTTCCGTACCTGCAAAGGAGTTGGTAGAACGAACTGTTGCCCTTTGGCAATTCAGAATCGATAAGGCCTGCTCGATCCACTTAGTTGAATATCTAATAGCAACAAATGACTGGTGACCGTTTGGACAGCCTTCGGTGGAGTTTTCCGATCACGTCTAATGCAGTCGGGAAGGCCATGGTGAAGTGATAGGATCAGATTGACCGAGGCTGTTTTGCACATTTTAGCAAAAATTTGACATGCGTGGCACTGATTGTGCATGCTCACAACCATCTGCTCATGATTAGACCAGTATAACCAGGTTCATATATCATTTTTCGAGCAATGCTATCCCGTGCATAAGTGTGGGCCAGACTCCCCGTTATGTAAGGAATCCATGATGTTTTCAGCTCTTGCTATCAACGCACTTAGGCTGCAGGCCATTCCAACTTTCTTTTGTACAAATCCCACCAGTAAGGGAAATATCCCGATGCTAGTGTCTAAATGTCCGTTGATCAGTTTGGTGGAATCCCTTCTGGGTAAACTTCATTCTGAAATAATCTCCTGTATACCAAACAGAGGCTTATCGTCGAACAATTCATGATATGTGCTGGCTGTTTCTGATAGCCGCAATGCGAAGGTCGAATGCTCCGATCTTTCTATGACCATCGGAGGCAAGTGTAGAGCACATGCAAACGATTTTTGGCTCGTGGCAGTAATGAAGATAAACCATCAATTGTGCAGCAATTCATGCCAAGCGTGTAGGTAAGCGAACCAAAACCACTCTTTCTTAATTTCCATTTCTTAAGCTGGGAACTATAAGTTGGAATCTCCGAATACCTTGGGATTTTATCTCCTTTCAAGCCCTAACTTCTAACCCTTTATGCAAGCTGCATACTCCGCTTCATTGTAGTTGCAAGTTTGAAATCCAATTTGACTGCGATTGGGATGTATTCTCCAAAGGAGTTTGAATACAACTCCACCCCATTTCCATGGTAATTCAAGCTCCATGAAGTCATTCCCAGACTTCTACTCAGCTAAACGTCTTCATCAGGAAAATTCCATTCCAGCATTTGGTCTCCGACGGTAACAGCTAATTGATCGACTAAGCACGCCTTTAACGGCCTTCCGTTGTACAAACTTTAGTCATAAGCTCAAATACTGATACCCTTGCCATCTACAGCAACAACCGGCCTCTAAGGATTCAAGGGGTTAAGACTCAGAAATAGACGTATGTGTAAGCACAGAGTAGTGCTGTAGCTTGGTACAGGCCCAGACTAAGCCAGACCAACTTCTCTATATTTTGTACTTTATGTGATTCTAGCATCCTTTCTGAGATAATAACTGCATATTCTATCCTTGTTACTTCTGATTGTGAGCTAAACATGCACCCATAGTCTTCTGTGACTGATAGATACTATAGCCGGTTCACTACCTTGTGGCTGTAAAAAGGCGGGGATAGCAGATATTGTTGACTTGTCGAAGCTTCCTGAAGTCCTCATCACTGACTGCTATCATTCCTAAGTAACTTGAACATAGGACCACCACAGTGCCCGCCAGTTGATTGATGAACCGATGATATCGCTGTAAAATCTCCCGAACCCGGACTTCTTTTTCGTCCTCGGAGCTGGCATTTCCCAGAATGGCTTTAGGCTTTCGAAGGGTCAATCTCTATGCCCTTCGACTGACCATAGCCAAGAAAATACTCCGGATGGTAGCTCGACAGACACTTGATGGTGAGCTTAGATTATAATTTCGATCTAGGAGGAACTCTCATGACGCTGTTGTATGTATTCTTCAGCTGTTTTGATTTTAACAACATGTCGTCCACGTACACTTGTACATTTCGTGAATCAGTCAGGGAAATGGCTGTCGCATTATTTGATAGGAATTGCCTCGTCATTTTTTTGAGCCAAAGGCAATAAACTCTGTAACTATAAAGTTCCCATTTCCGTGATAATGCGTTTTCTTCTTTGTCGGCACATATCATACATTATTGGTTTATCACAGCCAGGAATGGTCAAGGAGACCTATCTCGTGTCCCGCCCATTCGGCTCTCTAACAGTCAATATCTTAGGGGGGAAGTCAATCCTCGGAACGAGCCTTGTTTCATATCCCTATAATCACACACATTCTGACTTACCGTTTCTTCGCACTAGGCACATAATATTGCTAAACCATGTTGGTAGGCGATAGGTTCTAATGAACTTGTTTCCCAGCGCTAATGGCACTTCTTCCTTGAATCTCAAGACCATTCTGTCTTAACTCTCAGCCTTATGTTTACTTGGCTTAGCCTCGGGCACTGGCAATTTTGTGTACACGCTATTGCTGGGTCGACTTCCCGTGATGTCGTTGCCTTCACATGAGCAATTGGCGAACTCTTCTTCAAGATTCACGACTGTTTCCTTTTAGCAACAATCAAAGCAATGTATATATACCTTCATTCTTCTTGCATATTACTCCTTTTCTCATTTTTCATTTTTATTTCGTTATTTTTTTTTCTTTATTTTTGCTTGGAATGCTTGAAAGATAACACGCGGAATCAAAGATCTGCAACCTTATTGATTGAAGAATCGTATCCAAAGATACATCAAAATTGAAATCTGATTGTCAAAATCGACATAGACACGTCAGAAATTGGAGGCTGGACTTATAGCTAGTTTCATAGCAGGGTCAAACTCAAACTCCTAAGGATTCGATTTACAGAGGTTGACTCTAGGTTGACTCGGAGGGGGTTCATAACAGCATCTTCCTCCTCGGGTACAGTTGGTGAGAGTCCTTTATTCGGCTTGAATTAGGCTCAGTAGATTTGGTCTTCACGGTCTTGAATGATGCCAACCTCTCAAGAGAGACTAGCTCGACTGCAGTGAAGTTGTGCACTTTCCGAATGCGGTCTTGCCGTTTCAGGCTTGTTACCGGCATACTCGAGAATATTTCTAACCGGCAGCATCTTTTAGCATCGGGACAGTAAATGGTTTCTGGATAGTATACGAGCGGATCGTCTTCCAATTTGCAGAAGTGACTATTCGTAAGAAGCGTGATGGCAATTTTTGTAAAATGTTTTTCTTCTTCCTCTTCTGGTTTGCTCAGCAAGGTCTCATAAAGTAGCGAGTAAACATAGCCCGAAGTCTTCATATACGCGACATTCCCAGGCTGCAATGCGGGTATGTTATTCCGGACTTGCATTCATATCCCGGCAATAGGAAATCTTCAAGCATTAAAGGAACTATGCAATTTATCTGCAAGGTCCGGAATAAAGAGAAATTCGGGAAGTTTGCTAGTCTTTCCTTCTAGAACTCAGTGTCAAATGAAAATGCACCGTGAAAGGGGCAAGTTGTAAGTCTCAGGGTTGACGCTCAAAAGAGAGGCATCGCCTTTCGGCTTTTTTAACTGATTGTAGTCATCTCCTTGGATAGATAACCTTGGTCCCATAAAGGAAACGTGACTTTTGGTGTAAGGACGAGGGTAATTGGCTGGCAATGAGTGGAATCCATGGTCGATCCAAAAGCAATTAAAAGCTGGTCGATACATCAATTACCTGGAATGGGACTGTCATCACAGCTGGCTGCCGACTGTCAATTTTAGCAATAGCAAACCCCAAACAACTCCCTTCGGTCTATCATAGGCTTTTCACATCCTGGTCAATGGAATGAATTGTCCTTCTAACCCAAAAAGCGTGCTTTACCTAGATGGGCAGAGTTACAAGTGCTGACCCATTTGTCAATGAGAACCATGGGTAAGTTTTGCTCCTAGCTGAAATGGTGATCAAAAGAGACATTGTTGTGAATGCTGTCCCTCGCTGTAGGTAAGTCATGCATCAGAGAACTCCGTGGTTTGCTTTTAGATGATTGAGTGCAGGGTGGAACCATAGCACTTCAGGGCTAACCCTCCGATGTCTGAAGTTGGCTCAAAGCCTTGCAAAGAGCTATGGCGATGAAGGAAAAGATGATTGCTAAAAGTCCCAGATTGACACCTTAGCTTGTGTCTTCTTTTTAATTGGTGATATGGACCGATCCTCATTCTCCTCTTCTTTGGGTAGGGATTATTTGGAATTTATGTCCAATGACTAAGGTTCAATACTGTACTCCCGTTCTGTTATAGTGCACAGACGCTTCCTCAGATAAGGTCATTACACATCTGGACACAGATTTCAATTCATTTCCAGGAATTAGCTCGAAAGGATGCTGATCAATATTTCTGGTCAGAAACAACTAGCATTTAACCGTGGATTTGGTAAAGGGTTAGTGCTAAGTTTGTTTGCTTGTGAATAATCCGAACCATTATCCTATGGTCTTGGATCGATTTTTGAGGGTCCAACATGCTTCAGTCTTGTGCCATTATCACTGGATGATGACTCAACAATATTATTCCATCCGCTTGTATTCCCTCGTTAGTGGGGTTTGGGTGGTGGGTCTTGCTTTCGCGAAAGTTGGATATAGTTTGCTTTAACAAGCCTTCGGAATACAAAAGGATGGCATTCCGAGATCAGTGTAGTTACTTCTTGATCTGCTGCCAGCTCTCACTATTTCACCACACGTTAGAGGATTTGTGGGAGGTAATGCCTGTGCTCCACTTCGGTGGACTTTGCTAACTGATCAGGTTTTTTGTATTTGAGGCCAGATTCTTACTTTTAGCTTGGCTCATTTGAGTAATCTCCACCTTTGTAAGTAGTGGCAATAGAGCGACTGGAATAGATGGTAGATATTGAGTCTGTAACTGTGTTAGATAGACGTCAACAAAAGTTTTTAAAGATTATGTCCCACGTGTTCTTGGTTCGAAGGTCGATTGATCATTTGGGCGGCCTTGGCCCTCACCGCTCGTAAGCGACGGAGGAAAAGGGTCATTGTTCTTTGTTTGGATGTTTTGTAGTTCTCTTCGAGTAATCATTCAACTTCTATATTTATAACGTGATAGCTCAGAGAATTAAAAGCATTTGCAAACATCCTCCAGGTCGTCACTTAGAGCGGTCCAAAATACAAATCATCTCAAGCAGCAAGTTGCAGGGATTGGTTGAACAACTGGAGCAATGAAGCACGCTGCTTAAATCAATGGGTTAAGGGAGCCCAAAACATTTTCAGTGTTGTTTTAGGACAGTGGTTCTGTATCAACTTGTCCATGTTTTGGCATTGTTGAACTCTGGTAGGCAATCTATTTTGCTCGGGAACAGCAGGACAAAGAGTCCATGTCCACACCGTCCTTCGTGGGTCTTTAGAGCAGTAACAGACCTTATCCAGCAATTCCAGTTTTTCTATTGCATTCTTGAGCTTCCACTCAGAGCAGTTTTGGAGGTCATTTCATCCAAGTTAGGGTTGAAGACTAAGGGCAGGCAGGTCCTTGTTGGAGGCAGCAGGATCCACTCCCCAGCGGAAGCCCCACTTGTCCATTACCATACATTTAATTCAGCTAATAGGGCGGTTCTTTGGGCAGCAATGGCGTCATTCATCCTAGCCTGTAATCTGGCTCCATTTGTTCCATGAGGTTTTTGGATGTCAGCTAGTGATGCCATGTCCGTTGTAGTTGAAGGTTTGGTGATAGCACTGTAGGTGTGTCTGGTATTATTGTGGTCGCTTGCACAGAGGCGTACCTGTAAGTGTAAGGTAATCGATTAGGGTATAAGTGGGCGGTAATTGGTGTGACAGAGTAACTTGATATGAGGTAGACCGACTCTTTTGTCGCATCACTGTGCATGCACTGCACTAAACAGAAGGATATTTTATGTGTCCCTCCACTCTCTTCTATCATCTTTTTTTTTTTTTTAAATATAATTGGCTTATGGTATGTCGTGAGATGCGCCACAACCAAACGTCATAGATTTTTAATGAGATGATCCGTACCATAGGAGCATACATCCTAAAGGTAAGGTTCTTATAGCTATGACAAATAGAGAATGAGTTTATATAAGGAGACCTTGAGCTTTGAGGCATGGATATAGCCTAACCGAATTGTGAAGCAAGGAGTTTTCGCGTGGGTCCCCACGGTCACGCATGCCCGTGGGCCATTCCCAAAAGGATTAGGGGATGGTTTGCGGCAACAAAGGTGAGGACGCTTTGGCTGTCGTCGACATAATCAAGAGACCTGCCGATTCAGGCGCTACTTGCTATCCAGACTCAGAGTTTGAACAGAAAGAGAAGAATTTCATTTTGAGTTCAATTTGTTTAGGCAATGGAGAAAAGTGATTCCCAATGCGTCGCAATAAATCAGAACACAGTTTTTAATGTCTTAAATCACGAATTTTTCAATTAAGTGTCCGGATTTATCAAGTATTTCTTAAGGAAGAACACTTGAAGTTCGATCAAGAGGTACCCTAGCAAAACAAGCATAATAAATGGATGCCTTAAAAGAAGGCCGTTAGTTTTTCACAACAATGTAAGTCCACTTTATGCCCTATGGAATTACATAACTCCTCCAGTGGAGTCGCCAAACTGTGAAGCCCCTAACTCCAAATGTCATAAGGTCATACGATGCATTGATAAAGATAGAAATGCAACGTGAATGTATGAGTCGCCACCGCTTTGTCTTTAAGTTATTTTAAGGGTAAACTAGGGAAACCTAAGTTGGACTCATGTTTTAATAACCTAGTTACTAGATTAATTAATTCGCCAATGATAAAAGCCAGTCTACGAACCCGAGAAATGGATTCCGAGACGTATGTCATGCCGATAAACTAACCGAGAAATGAATTGCTTTGCAGGTAAAATGATGGTTTAATGAAATGATTTGAGTGATTTATGACTTGCCACCGGGGTGATCCCGAACGTGCATACGTACTTCAGTTTGAATGGAAGATCAAAGTCAACGTAGTGAATTGGGCCTGCTTTTAGAGGGCTTTGAATGATTGCTTAATGCAGTGGGTGTGTGTATGCCTTAGGCATTGATTTGGTGTATGCTTTGTGGCATTTTGTGTGTATGCTTTGTGCGGATTATTGTGTATTGCTTTGTGCATTTTTGTGTGTGAATATGCTTTGTGCGTGATTCTGTGGTATGCTTTGTGCATTTTTTGTGTGCATTAGATGCTTTTGGGGGTTTGCGTGATTTTTGTTGTATGCTTTTGTTGCTTTGTTTAGGCTTGTTCGCGCAAAGATTGATTGATTTTAGGCCATGTTTGCAAAAATTTGATTTTAATGGCTTTTTAGGCAAGAATGATTTGATTTAGGCAATGTTGCCAAAAATGTGCCGATTTAGGCGATTGTCGCCAAATGGTTGTTTTAAGGCCTTTGGACAAATTGTGTTTGTTTAGGCAAATTGTTGGCCAAAAAATGTGCGATTTAGGCGAATTGGTGCGCCAAAATGTTGATTTTAGGACTTTGCCGAAAAATTGTTCATTGTTAAGGCATTTACCCCAAAAATTGTCGATTTACGTTTTGAGCGAAAATGGTATGATTTTAAAGGCAATTTGCCAAAAATGTCGATTTAAACGCAATTTGTTGCTAATATGATGGTTGATTTTAAAGGCCTTTGGCCCAAAAAGTATTGAGTTAAAGCAGATTCGTGTTGCTCTAAAAATCGATAGAGTCCTGTGAGGGATTAAGTTGCCAAAAATTGATTGATTAATGTAGCAAATCTGTTGCCAAAAACGTGATTAAATTGAAGGCCGTTAGCCACAATTATTAGATTAATTGGACTTTTAGCGAGATTGTTTCGAAATTTAAGGCAATTAAACCGTAGTTATTATTAACTATGGCTCTTTTAGCTAAAATTGTCGGATTTAAATTTAATACCAAGATTATTGATTAACCGGCAGGCCATTTAACTTAATCAAATTATTTAAGTACGGTTTTAGTGTTGTCTAAATGAATGATGCTGAAATGCTTTATGCAATTATAGAATTATTAAGATGTAAGAAAAGAATATGCATGAAGTGCTAAAATTAAATAGGCAGGGTTTCGTTTACGTACCTGATTGTAATCCGTCGACACACATTCTTAACTCCAAGGTTAAGCTCACTCGTTTAGAGTATATATTAATTTTTAATTTTATTTAATTTTAGTGTCAAATAACAACAAATAAAATGCAATAAAAATTATAAAATAAAATGCAAAAGCGGTAAAAAAGGACGCAAGAGGTGAGAGAGAGAAGTTTCGTCTTCAAAATAGACAAGGCACACAGAAAATTGGCTGAAGATGGCCCTATTTAAAATAGTGCCGTTGTTCGGCGTCCCGGGCGGCAGCTGCCGCCGGGAGGGCGGCATGCTGCCGTCCAGTGGGGGCTGGACGGCAGGTGCCGACGTGGACCCGGGCGGCAGCTGCCGCCCGCCAGTGGTGGCAGCCCCGCCCACGCTGGCGGCGGGGTGCTGCCTGGGAGGGCGGTCAGTGCCGCCCCAGTTGGTGGGGCGCAGGTGTCGCCCAAGCTTGGCGCAGGTGCCGCCAGGGGTGGTGGGGGGGCCAGGCCCGCTGCGCCGGGCGACAGGCCCGCGGCGCTGGGCGGCACGCCTCGCCCGGGCGTGGGCGACAAGGCCCGGCGGCAGCTGGGCGGACTGCTCGCCCGCGCGCCGCGCATCCCGCCCGCTGCGGGGTCCAGGCCCCTCGCCGACAGCGCTGGGCGGCAAGGCCGTCTGCCCGCCCGCGGGCGACAGGCCCTCGCCGCCGGCGGCGGCTGGGCGCAGCCTCGCCGCGCGCGTGGACAGGACACCTTCGCGACGCTGGCGGCAGGCCCGCGGCCCGGGGCTGGCAGGCGTCGCCCGCGTTGGGGGCGGCGCAGCCTTGCCGCAGGAAGTGGGGCGGCTGCTGGCCCCGTGCACCGGCGGCCGCGCCTCCGCGTGAGCGGCGGCAGGGCGCCGCTGTGCCCGGTGTGGACACCGTGCTCACGCTTCAGAGGGCCTTATTTGGGAGTTCCGGACCTCCGAAAAATATTGCGGGACTGTTTCCGCGATCCTCGCGATATCCGGACGTTCTCACAGCTACCAATAATTAGACATACTTTTCGGTGAACTTGCCGAAATAGCCTCCGGATTCCGGCGGACTGATTTGCAGTTCCGGCGAAATATAGGACTTTCTGAGCCTCGAATAATTTGGGTATTCACAGAAATCATTGTCGACAGTATACGAACGGAGGCCTGCTGAAGTGGGAGGTGTAAATAATATAAATAGAATAGAAAGTGGTCTCTGCAACAGCTTGGCTTACTCCTCTATATTCTGCTCTGCATAGAACCGTGGATAGTCAGGCCCTGCCGTTTTTTGGAAGACAATATATCAAGGGAACCAACAGTAGCCACTAAGTTGATCTGTGGAATCTGGGCTCACCCACCCAATCCTGCTGTCTGAGTATGCTACCAAGGTAATTGTGTATTTGTCCTTGCCATTCTTATACATGAGTCAATAAGCTCGCCTTGTAAATATCGTGATTATAAATATCGGATTATTCTTTTGAGAAAGGCATAGTGTGGATCCCGCGGTTCATGCATGAAGAGGCATATTTGTTGAACAGCATATGATATATCTGGGCGTGTGAATGTGAGATACTGTAGTGCGCCAGCAAGACTCCGGTATAATGTTGGATCATGGAATAGAGGTCCATCAGAAGCACTCAGTTTTGATGATAGATCGACTGGGGTGGCACATGGTTTTCAAGAGGACATTGAAGCTCTGGAGATGATATCCTTCGTGTATTGAGACTGATCCAAAAATAACCCACCAGATGTCTGTGTCACTTTGATTCCCAGGAAATGATGCACCCGGCCCAAATCTGTCATTGCAAAATCTCGTGAGAGCATGCGGATAATATTCTGTAATAACTCATTAGAAGAGGCAGTGAGCACTATACCATCAACATACAGAAGTAAATAAGCAAGCTGATTTCCCTTTGAGAAAATGAATAGGGAATTGTCACACACACTGCTGCGAAACCCATGAGACAGCAGATGGGTATTAGCAATCTGGTGTATGCCATGCCCTGGCGCTCTGTTTGAGCCAATAAAGGATTTTTTCAATCTGCACACAAATGAGGGTATCTTTATCTGTGAAACCCGGGGGTATGAATCATAAAACAGTTTTTCCATGTTAATGCCCATGGTAAAAACGGGTTTTGACATCGCAACTGGGTGTTACATTGGCCAAGAACGGAAACGTGCAATGGATAACACAGTCCGTATAGTTTGTGCGGGTTCACTACGGGACTAAAAGTATGAGTCACATGTCAGCCCTACGTTTGAGATTTGCCATTCTACCACCAAAACGTGCTTTGTACCTTGTGAAGGTGGACCCATCTGATTTAAATTTGTGAGAAAAAAGCACACATACACCGAAGTGACCGTCGGTCCGGAGGGCGAGGCCACGAGTTTCACAGTTATCATTTCCTTGCAAAGACGAAACTTCCGCCTGCATAGCATTTAAAGTGAGGGTAGAAAAAGTTTTGCAATAAGAGGTGGCGTATTGGTGAAATTGAGGTGTCATAAGGGTTGCGAGCTTTAGAGCGGTGGTCATGGATGGGTATTCTGTGGCGGGTTTTGATAAGCGGTCGGGTCTGAGTGTTGGGATGTTTGTGAGACAGGTGCAGCGTGTGTCAGTGTGTTGGGGTGTCGTAGCATTGGCCACTGGGTTAAGGGGCTGTTGTTTATGGCGGCGAGTGTATATTATGGGGTAAGGAGAGATTGGGCGTTTTTGGGTTTGGGTGGTGTTTGGTGTTGGGTGAGGTTGTATAAACTTAAATCCTGGTGGTGGTTGTTCATCAAGAAATGTGTATGTTTTGGGTGGAGTTGGAATGGTGTATGGGAAAATTTGTTTATCAAAGGTTACATGTCGTGATATGTGGATCTTCCCGGTTGTAGGGTCAAAGCATCGGTATCCCCTAAAATCTGGAGGGTATCCAAGGAAGATGCATCTAACGGATCTTGGGTGTAATTTGTGGGGTTGGGTTGCAGAGGTATTGGGATAACAAGCACACCCGAACTCGTATGTCGGGTGGCGGAGATATAAGGCAAAAGTGGGTGTGAAATAATTGAGACGTTTGGTTGGAAAGATGTTATGGAGATAGGCAGCAGTGTGAAGTGCTTCGACCCAAAACATAGGTGGTAATTCAGCATGGATGAGGAATGAGCGGATGATGTCGTTGAGACGACGAATCATGCGTTCAGCCCGACCATTTTGGGAAGATGTTTGGGGGCATGAAAAACGGAATAACAGACCATGTTGTTGGGCAAAAATTTTGAAGTTATGGTTGTCAAATTCTCCCCCCAAGCCCCCAAGTCACATTGAAAAGTTTTGATATTACGGTTGAATGGGTGGCTATGAGTTTATGGAATTTAGTAGGTGTGAAAGTTTCAGATTTGAACTTGAGAGGGTATACCCACAACATAATGGAAAAAATTATCATTAGCACCATGTATTATTTATACCAGATTGGTTGGAATAGGGAGGTCCACAAGTCACAGTGTATATAAGTCAAAATGGTTGAAAAAGGTAAAGGAATTTTGACTCATAAAAAGGTAATCGTTTGATTATAGATAAATGACAACGAATTGCAAAAAAATAAAGTGCTTTGTTCTTATTAGCTAGGAAGAACCAAACTTTGGTTACAAACATCTAATACTTGTGGTGCCAGGTGACGAGGCGATCGTTGCCAAGGTAAATTTGGAGAATGTGAGTTGAACAAGCTTGTGGTGTGTAGGGTTGGTGGGAGTGACAAGATACAGAGATCTTTCCGGTACTATTAGTGGCGGAAAGAAAGGAGCTGTCCCGTTTTGAGGTCCTTCAAAGAGAAACCAAAAGGGTCAAATTCAACAGAAATATTGTTATCACGTGTAAAACGGCGGACAGATAATTAATTTTTAATGATATGTGGGCTGTAAAGTATGTTTGGGAGGATGTATGTATGGTTAAGGATGGGAAGGTAACCTGTTCCTGAGCCCTCAATTGGTAAATAGTGTCCGTTGCCGACTAAAAGTTTAGTGTTAACAGGAAAAGAGTCAAGGTTGCGAATCATACCTCGGTTGTCAGTGACATGACGTTCTGCCCCTGTATCCATGATCAGTCAAAGATTTTGGGATCTGTGTAGTTGAGTTGCATCGTGTTTATAGCTTGGCTGAGATCGGAAGACTTAAGCCATCTATCCAGTATGCGTGGAGGGGGAAATATGGTGGTGCTGGGCCGATGAGCTGCATGTCTGAATAAGACGGCATATGGGCAACGTGGGGATGTGTTTTTGATTGATTTGGTGGCCATGGAAGTTTGGTGTTGGGTAGGGAACAAGGTGGAGTGTTCCACAAGCCATTTGGGTAGGTTTTGATTGGCGGACTGATGTTGTTATAGCCAAGAGTCCCCGTAGAGTTTCGCCTGTACGCCGGTCTTCATGCCTCTGCCAGTCTACCTTGACCACGGCCTCTATAATGTGGAGTGGTAAGACTGTTGTGAGGCTTGATTTGTTTTCAGTTGTGTGAGTTGGGCCGCTGGGGTTGGTTTGTCTGCGTGGTTGGAGCGCAAGGAAGAGTGGTTTGTTGTCGTGCAGCCTGGCGAATGAACTCATTCATTCAAACATGGTTCGTGCAGGCGCCCAGTCTGCGTTTTGTGGTTAATAAGAGAAGCGTATGGCGTTCCGAATTCTTGAGAGGCACGAATCAGTTGTAAGACCAATCGGATTCCTGTAACTGTTGGCAACATCGTTCAGTTGGTGGCGATGTCTTTCAATTTCTTGCAGTAATCATCAACCGGAACTGCAGGCTGCAAGAAGGGTGAGATTAACGAATTTTGTTTCAAGAGCTGCCGCTTTTGCTTTCTTGTTGCTAAGGAAGATTTTCTCAAGTTTCAGCCATGTTTTTCTAGCCGTAGCTTCAGTGTCAAGGATGCGGGTGAGCAGTTCATCAGACACGGTACTGTAAATCCATTGAGACACCAAGGCATCTATTTCTTTCTAGGCACTGTACGATGGATCTGTAGAGGCTGGGGGTGGCGTGTCATCAATGTGATCAAGAACACGGTATGCAATAGAATGAAACTTGAATAATTTCACCCATGATGTGTATGTAACTGTGCTACCATCTAGGGTTCTTATTTTTGATTGGATGTTAGTCAAGAGTTTAGGCAGAGTAGGCAGGGTGAATGGGGGTGGGTGTTTTAGGGTTGGAGGTCGAAGATGGGACTTCTGTTTGTGTCATGGCTATCGGCGGCAGCAGCTAAAAAAAAATATGGGAGAGAAAGGAGAGGGAGGGAATTCAGAACTGAAGCTCTGATACCATGAAAGTGTTTGAGGATTTTGAATTCTTGATGATTTTGTATTGATGTCCAAGACCTTTTAAATAGGGAGAATACAAACAGAATATGGAAAGGAATTACAGAGATTAATTACAGGAAATTAATTGTAATCTGTTCCTAAATCAGAGGAATGGGAGATATCATCGGCTAAGACTCTCCCGCAGTTTGAGCGGGCAGAGGACAGACGCTCAAGCTGGATCGAAATGACTGGAACAACTGTCGAGATAGGCCTTTGGTAAAGATTTCAGCATATTGAAAAGCGGATGGGACATGTGAGACCCGAATGTGGCCTATTCAAACTTTCTCCCTTACAAAGTGTATGTCGATCTCAATGTGTTTTGTGCGTTGATGCTGGACAGGATTGTCAGACATATACACTGCGGAAACTGTGAACCCCTACCCCAAATGTCATAGGCATACGATGCATATGATAAAGGATAGAAATGCACGTGAATGTATGAGTCGCCACCTTGTCCTACATTTTTTATGATGAATGTTAACATCTGAGCGTTATATTAGGTTTCCGAGAAGGCTGAATTTGGTAGAAGTTTATTTGAAAGACTGGTACTCATGGGACACAACAAACACCTTCTAAATGTTCAGTACAGAATGCATCCATCAATAAGTTTATTCCCGAATATGGAGTTTTATGGAGGACTGATTCGTGACGCTCCAATTGTTAAAGAAAGAAGCCATGAGAAGTGTTTTCTTCAAGGAAAAATCTATGGCTCTTACTCTTTTATAAATGTTGCTTATGGACATGATGATTTTGATGATGGGTACAGCCGAAAAAATATGGTAGAGGCAGCTGTTGTTTGTGAAATAGTTGCAAAGCTTTTGAAAGGTACATTTGCTTTTGAGACACATGTTTCTGTCCATTCGTGCGTGTGTGTGTGTGTGTGTGTGTGTATACATGTCTAATTATGTACATCTGCATGTTCATATTAAAAACACATGCCTTTTATAATGTTTTGTCTTTGTATCATCAGGATCAGTTACTATGATTTCCTTATTTACTTTACAGAATCAGCTGCCACAAAACAGAAACTAAATGTTGGTGTTATTTCACCTTACAAAGCTCAAGTTCATGCAATTGAGGAAAAACTTAAAAACAAAACCTGTTCCATTACCAATAGTGGCTTCTCTGTGTGTGTAAGCTCTGTAGATGGATTTCAAGGCAGCGAGGAAGATGTCATCATAATATCCACTGTCAGATGTAATTCAATGGGATTGGTGGGGTTCCTTTCCAATCGTCAGAAAACAAATGTGGCTCTAACCCGAGCAAGGTTTTTCTCGTTTGAAATTGTAAGGTACCATACATGTGTTTTAAGCATTTGTTAATTTGACATTAAAAAGGTGGTGTTATTTCTTCATCTAGGTATTGCCTTTGGATAGTGGGAAATGGAGCAACATTAATTAATAGTGATTCTGTTTGGGAGAGATTGGTCAATGATGCCAAGGACCGAGGATGCTTTTATAATGCTGATGAGGATGAGATCCTGGCTCAGGCTATAACAGCCGCCTTGGTTGAGATTGACCAACTTGATCAATTGCTTAATATGGATTCAATACTGTTTACAAAAGGGAGATGGAAGGTATGTTGCTTGTTTATAATGATTTTAGCAATGCTGTTTTCTTGTTTTTCATCTGTGTCCCCTAGAATTTAAGGTTAAGCGTCACCGACTTCATTTTAGTTTCTTTAAACTTGAAGTTTTAGCATCCATTGAATTGATTGAATGTTTGTTTCATATTCTTTTAGAAGATGGTGATGTCTGACCCACACAAACCACATCTTGAAGGTTATTGATTTTTGGATGAGGAAAACAAATTGATGAGTTTATATAAGGGAATTGCAAAATCAATCATGAACATGAATGGTAAAAACCAAAACATTCATGATCGAGAAAAAATAAGGTAATCAATGGAATGATTGTTTAGAAGTGAATAGCGACAAGTCCCCTGTTTGTTAATGATTTTTTTAGTTCAAGTAGCTACTGGTTTTCTGTCAAGAACCATTGAAGAATAGAAGAATTTTGTTATAGACACCCATATGGTATTCTTAGCTATCCTTTTCCTCCCTCCTGCTATGACATGCACATATATGTTTATCATATTTACAGTATGCAACAGAATCATGCACTCTCAAAGCATTCTTAAATTCTAGTCATGTTACAGTACACAATAGCATAACCATCACAAGAGTGGACCAGACTAACCAGTTAGCTCAAATAATACATTCAGATTGGTTTTACTCCTGGACTCAAACGTTGGAACTGGACTTGGCATCGCGATAATTTCGGCTGGTTCTGTTCCTCAGGTTACATTAGATAGATTTGTCCATAACAAAAAGAATAGGCTGAGGCTTTCAAAGTGGACATTTGATAAGATATTTTCAGATTTGCATTAGGAATTTAAATTAATTTTTAGATCCCTGGGCTCATCTTTGTTTCTTAAAATTGAAATTGATGCTTACAATTATATACAGGTCATCTTCGATGATCATTTTTTGAAGTCTATTGCAAGGGTTAAGAGTAGTGAGACCCGTAAACTAGTGGTTTCAATTCTGAAGAAGCTTTCAAGTGGTTGGCATCAGCCTCACAACTACAGAGATCTCAGAGTCATAAATGTGGTTTCTTCTCCTCTTTTAGATGTGTATAAGGTTGATGCTTCACTTTACCTTGTCTGGACCGTTGACATTGTCAAGGAAAATGAGTATTATATTCAGGTTCTGAAAGTCTGGGATCTTTTGCCTTTGTCTGGGATACCAAATTTAGAAGAACGTGTTGCTGTCTTATATGGAAAATATTCAGCAGATGAAATTGAGCTGTGCAAGTTCAGATGCGTTGAAGGGTATGCAAACATCATTTAATTTCACTTTTTTGCTTCTGCTTCTGACTTTTCTGAAGTAATACAAGAACTGTTCCTATTTTCATTTTGCAGAATTTTCTGGTTCATATGGAAACAAGCATTGATATTCACAAGTTATTGCACAGATTAAGACTTAGAGAATACTTCAATAGAATGATCTTGACCTTGTGATTTACTAATTAAAGTATTAAGAGGTCTAGGCTATGTAAAGCAACATCGATAAAATTCAATTGCCGGCATCCCTTTCCACTAGGATAACAATTTCAACAGAGGAGAAAATTGTTAAAGAAGTGTCATTTTATTCACTAAGTTGCAGTCTAATGACTAGTTTTTTGTCGGCATGTTTCTGTACTCACATCACCTACCCTGTGTAGCATTTGGGAATAGAAAAGTCAACATCTCATGATGCGTTTTACTTCGGCTTTTCACCATCTTAGGGGCATATCAACCATACATGAAAATACTGCATTTCACACATCATTTTGCTAGTTACCTGCAAGCACTACTGCCATGTTGCTCGTTAGTGTGCACAGTTATATACGTATTCGCCCAGTGACACAGATCTATGTTTGCATCTATAAGGAGCTAATGCTGCGGGAAGAGGTTGAATTATAAGAGGAGGAGGAAAACTGGCCTCTGGTTTAGTTTACTTGAAAAGATAGAGACTTTCATTTATTTCACATCACGATTATCTCCTGAAAAATTTTACTTGTTATTTTGCTGCAGGAACTTACATGTTCCAATGACATGGGCTATCCATTCAAAGGAGCTTGTAAAAGATGATGCTATCGAGTTACTCTCTTTTCAATTTGCTTCACTTAATCTGCGGGATCAATCTGAGGCATCAGCTAATTGTCATAGGTCAGTGCATGCAGTACATATTTTGATTTTTTATCATGTCTGCCATTGTCTTGCTCTTGGAGTGCTTAGGAGAATTTGTCAACAGAAAATATTTGTTTTCCTGTTCAAAGGAAAATTAAGCTATTTTCAAGGAAAACAACTTTTCCTTTCTAAAAGAGGAAGTTAACTTAGGACTTCGCAAACTCATTATAATAGAGAAAAATTACACAAGCACATACCTATCATTTTATTGATAACAGTTGGTTACTATTGTCATCACCGGCAAACAACACCAATTACCACCGGAAGATAAAAGAAAAGGCTGTTTCTCCATTTGATGATGTCTCTGCTTCTAATTATTGCATGTCAATGAAATCCACAAGATCTTGTTTTTCTAAGACAAAATATAAATGTTCATAGTTTCTTATTTACAACATATAGAGCTAACATCATGCCTCTTCGGATCCAGGTATCGAAAATAGGTGCTTATTACACCCACATGGTAATGCGAAACATGAAACAATAGCTTCTCACACAATGTAAATGTACGGAGGATCACAGTAGCTATGGTACATTACAAGCCTAGTGATATTTTGATATACTGCTTTAAACACCTTTCAAATGTGTATACATAATTAGATTTCAATTGTTTTGGATGATAGAAAGAAGGTAGAAAACCCCTTTCCGACTCTTCCTCTCTCGCACCAGTCATTGCTTATGCTGAATTGGTGAAGTTTGTAGTAGTGGAGTTGATATTAGTTTCTGGTGATTTCTCTTCTGATTGATAGCTTTTGAAGTTTGCAATGGTGGGATTGATGTTTCAAGTTTGAAAACAGGCCTATTGAATTACTCCATTTTACAGAAAAGAAAAATCCATTGTTTACCAAAACTATTATTTGACTGTTGTGTGGCTTATATTCTATTCTGCAACCAATTGACTGCTTTATGTGATCAAAGAATTAGCAAGTGTATTTTCAGGTGAAGACATCATTAAAGTGTGACCTAAGGCAAAGTAATAACCATACTAGAAGGTATCTTAACAAAAGATAAATAAATAAATAAATCTTTATTTGCTGAGTAAAGAAATTTTTTTTTACTTAAATCACCAAACTAGGATGAGTTAAATTTTAGGTTTTTTGGCCTTCAAAAATAATTGCAATTTTTTTTAAAATTTTTTAAAGTGTTTCTAAAACAAAAAAATAAATTTTATGAAATATAAATTGTGATGTACTAGACTTTTTTGAATGCTTTAAGAAATTATCACCTACAATCTTTCTTCTTTTACTATACCTTTCCTTTCTTATAGGATTTATCTCCATATTTTCTATAGGATTTAATTATATAGAATTTACTTTCTTTTTCCTTCTCATACAAGTCTAATATTATTTAACTATTCAAATAAGGGATATCAATTTTATCTCAATGGAAAACTTCTACTTCTTTATTATTTCCTTCTCTACTTATATAAAATTATTTATAAAAATCTAATATCATTTATTGATTGAAATTACTCGGGCATTAATTTCATTTCTACTGAAATTCTCTATTTACCTAAACATAATCGGACCCTAGAACTAAAAAAACATGAAATTTATAATACATTATCATTTATAATTTTATACCAAAGATGAAATTTTTAATTGGTAAATGAATTCAAGAAAGAATTTACAAAATAATTTGATTGCAAACGAGCTCTTAAAATCATTTGTTGTTCACTTTGGCAAAATTTTGATCTCCAATGAAACCAAGGAAAAAACCTGTTGACCTTTGCTTCAAGAGTTAAACTTGAGGTTTAAAGCCTACCACAGAGAAAGTGCATGTCACTTAAATACATCAATGAAACTCGAAGCTTTCATGTATTAGCCTCAATCAAATATTACTTGTGCAAAAATCTGGGAGAGGCAGACATTCCTGGAGATGCTTATGACATGCTTGACGAAACTCAGACAATATCTTAAAGAAAATTAGCTTCTAAGCCTATGTAAAATAAGTTATTTGGAAAATATTTTTCAAATAAAATGTTTGTTATTCTGCGGAAAATTTCTGATTTGCATTCCTTTGAGCACTTGGTGTGAAAGTTTGTAATTACCAAAAGTGCAGCAAAATGTAATTCCAGATATGTTAGATATTAAATAAGTCTAACATGGGAAATCGATATAGGTGATTTCTATGAAATGGTTTGATAAATCAGGTAGTGGAAATATAGAGACTGCAAATGATGAACTGACGAAAATCGATTCCCAGATCTATGTTTCTTAAAATGTCTCACCCAGAATGGTAACTTGAAAGTCCTTGAAAGAAATTAGCACTCTAACATGCATATCTGCTCAAGAAGCAACTAATTTCACCGTAGAAAAAGCAATTATTACGATTGTAAAACAAAAGCTCTAAATATGATAGCAACATTCAATCTGGTTTACAATTGGCCAACTGAGATGGAAATTGAAATGGGATCAATTAAAATTATAAAACTCAAGTTTGTGGTGCAAGTTGAGACAAGCAAAATTATAGAAGACCATAATTGGGAGGAGGGAAGCCTATGGATGACTTGATAGAAGTATTACTATTACCTGACGTAAGAAAAATATACTAGTATGCAAGGAATGCCAGTATAAGCTGAGTAATATTTATAACTAAAACAATCAAAACTCAGGATGACCTGGCTGAGAGTAAAAATAGAAAAACGGAAAAAAAAAAAAAAAGAAATGCAAGATTAAAAGACATCTATAATCTAAATCAGCCTCAAAACTATTATGCGGAAAGAAATAGCTCTTCAAGCGTCTAAGGCAGGAAAAACTACCATATATGAGCATGATCAATCTTGTTTGTTATGAGACAGCCTTGCTCGGTGTCTAAGTTCTGCTCTTTTCCACCTAACAATCATGTAACATAATGAAAAGAGAGTGTTTATCTGCAAAGACAAGGATCAGAATACAAAAGAAAGATTCAGTAAAGAGAATATATAAGGGAATGGGAACAAACAACAGATGACAGCAATTACTGACCAAAATAATGGTTGCAATGATGAGAAGAGGCCCAGACCAGAGTGCTGAAAGAAAAATTCCATGTGGATCAAAATAATTCTGGCTTGCAAAGCTTCTCCAATTGTCACCAAGAACTCTATTAAGCCTCTCGGCGAAGTATACACCACCCACTACATGACATCATTGGCTAATATAAGGTGATATTCAAGGACATGAAAAATAAAATGGACGATACATTAGTGCCTGCAACCATGTGCTTAGGTTCTGAAGTAAACATTGACCTACTGACAATAAGCATATATATGAACTAATAAACAAGTGATACTGGTAAGGTGAATTGTGCTTTATTTGGGGGTTGCAAATGACAAATAGCCCAACTTCTCCAAATTTATTTGGAGAAAAAAAAGATAACAGGGAAAAATACATGTTAAAAGATTTTTAACCATGAGACAAAAGCCAAATTTCATGACTCTAGCAATTGTTTTTGAAAACTTTTAGTTTAGATTTACATATCTACTAATTGTAGGATCTTTCCTTTTCCAGGAAATATCAGTTTTTATCAAGATGTGAGCACCGTTCTATAAAAACTTGTACAATATGTCATATCACCAAGCATGCACATATACAGATGATATACCGTTATACAAAGTAAAATTCGATGCAAAGGAATATTCCCAAGACACATACATCCAGGGCGGCATAATGCCACTACTAAAGCCCTGTTTGGCTCCAGGCCCAGGTGCACTACCTTTGCATGCATGCCAAAGGTCTAAACTCGCTGCAAGAACAAGCATACCATTTCTTCAACCTCCCATCTTAACACTAGAAGTTTGTGCAAAAGCAGGGGACCCACAAGACGAAACTCACTCTGAGAACAACTACAAGCCTGACATGTAAAATATTACTAACCCTTGTTTGATATAAATGAATACATAAAAATTTATTCATAAATAATAGAATTCAGTGAGTTGTGTTGGATTACATAAAATTAAGTCTGTGGTGAGAGTGAAGTGAACACTTCTAAATGAGAAAAAATGAAATTCTAATTCTACCTTTTTTTTTTTTTGGGAAATTCTTTTATCCCAAACAGGAAAGACATAGTTTGAGACCCTCTAGGAAAGATATAATTTAAGCTACAATATCCATAGCTAATTATATGACTTGCAAGAGAATCTACGGAAGTGATATTAATTACAATTAATCTACTCACAAGAATTGATTAAGAAATGAAGTAATGACACAATCATACATAAAAAAGCTAAAACTAGAAAATCTGATTCCCATTAGTAATTCCAATCCAATATCATACTCTTCAACTAAAGAATTGAAAAATAACTTACAAGCAAGGAGAAACAAGAACATCTGAAAGTTCACATGTTTCCTTGAAATGATGGCTATTATCAGCAACACAGCATGAAATGTCAACAAACCCATCAACCAAGGCTCCTGGGAAACCAAAATTATTCTCAAAAAAAAAAAAATAATAATAATAATAATAAAAGTTGAAATTAGATAGATAGAAAAAGCTAGTAACAGGTCCGGAATTTGAATTTTTTTTGTTTACCTTCCAGTCTATGGCATGGAAGAATCCCATGAAATTCTCATAGGCGGGTCGAAGGCCGGATCGGAGCTCTGCAGAAAGTTTCTGGACGAGATCCGCCATTTGCACCATGTGGTCTTCCAAAGCCGATCTGAGTTCGTCCATTATTATTAATCAGTCACCGGGATACACCCTGTTCCGCGATCTGAGTGACTCCGAGGCTTCGTGAAAACGGAAATAAATGGCTCGAGTTGTTGCTGTTCTTGGAATTTCGATGTTAGAATAGATGTGCAGATATGGATGGCAGCGGGAGAGTACTCGAAAGAACTAAACCAATAATATACGGACCGCTCCAAATCTGTTTAGAATTACCCGCATACTAACCGAACCAGTTTAACTATCCGTTTAATCACAAATTTCTTTAATTTATTAAATATTATAATTTAATTTAAATAATTTTATTAAAATATTACTTATGAATAAAATTATATTACTTCTAATAATATTTTATTCATTGAGAATGGTAAATAGCTTGGTGGTAGGTCATGGGTTCAATTCCTTAATAACAAATCATATAGTGAACGAGTACCCGTTGCCCGCCAAGTTGAACCCTTGTATGGGTATTGAATTCACTATCCAAACCCATTCAAATCGGGTCGAGTTAAAAATCATTCCTATGTGCGGAAAGAGCGTGAGAGAAGGAGAAACCTCTGGAAGTTGAAGTCCGTTTGTGCCCTTCCAAGTTCATTCCTGAAAATAATTTCTTTTTTTCAAAAACTATGGCTAAATGTCTCAAACCATTATTACAATTCTAGTTAATTTTTTTAATTTTGACAGTTAATGTTGTTAACATAATTTTTCTTTGTAATAGTAGACAATGTCATTTCTTTGTTAAAAATATGCTAATTTGATCATCCCATAGCAAAAAGAAGTTAGACACGTCAATCAAATTTAAAAAAATATATATATATATATTGGCCCTTTTTTATTGGGCAAAAATGTCATCATATTTCACCATGAATACCTTAATAATACCTACTTCATCCCTCTGCAAATGAAATCCCTAAAACCTTAGAGCTTATGCTAAATCTCGCTTCTCCTCTACCTCTGTCAATGAGAACTCTTGTAGCCCATTCTATGAAAAGCGAAATCAAACCCTAATTTCAATAAAATAAATCTCGTACGGTGCGTCAAACACTGAGCAATGTTGTAGATGGAAGTTTAGCTACGGAAACATTATATAAGGATTTTGAGGCTGAAGTAGTCTGTAATTACAACATGAAGGCTAAATTTAATGCATCCTACATGTTCAAGATAGAGGCGCTTTATAATTGTTCTTATACTATGAGAAAACATAATATTTTATGCAATTGTCTCAATTTTTTATATATGATAAGAAACGCAGAATGTACAAATTGAAATTCACACAAAAAAATTGGCCAAGTAAAGCAATAAACATCACCTCTTTCTATATAAAACTAACTTTCCTCCTTTGAAATAAAACATATGCATTACAACTAAACCCTAACACATAAAATAAGACAAAACGACAACCTCCAATACAGTAGCGCATGCTCTAAACAAAAAAAAAAAAAAAACCTTAGTTATGACTATGGTCTACTAAGATTGCCTTTATCCCAACAACCTCCAATATTATTGATATTAAGTTCCTAATAGTCAATAAACTTCTTTGTTTATTAGTTTTTTCATTGTCGATAACTATGAAAAAGGAGGAGAAAAGGCATAAAGTGAAAATAAAATTTAGGGATTTTCAATAGTTGAAGAATCATATTCACCCATGTCTATCATCACGATTTTAATCTTAGGATTAGTGTCATCGACAACCAATATAGAAAACGATATCGTGTAAGAAAAATGAATTGTGCTGAATGGGTGTAGTTGATGTGTTTGGAGAACCACGTCATTCTTTTCCCGATTAAAAGGGCTAAGATTTCTTTTTTTTTTTTTTTTTAAAAAATCTGACATGGTTTGCTGATATGGTGAACTTCTTTCTATCATGCGTCCCACTGACAGCAATGTTAATTTTTTATTTTAATGGGGATAGGATGGAGGCTAATATTGCAAAGAAAAATTAAGCTTACAACATTAATTGCAAAATTAAAAGAACTGGCAAGAATTGCAAAAACAGTCAATGTTCAAACTTCTTTCAGAAATTTAGCCAAAAGCTAATTGTAAACTCTATATGATTCCATTAATATTTTAAATAAAACGACCTAGAATTATAAGTTATAGATTTCATAATTAGTGTTATTATAAATTAGGAATCAATTTTTTTGACAAATAAAATCTTTTTTATGCAATGTCAATTTTGTTAACATTGTTTTATTATAATTTAAGTAAAGTGATCCAAAAATATAAATAGAGAAAATACTTTTTAGTCCCTTGATTTTGATCAAATACACTAGCTAATTCTCACTTTTTTTCAAAATATATCATTACACCCCTATGTTTTTGATCCGTCAAACACTATAGTCCCCCATCAATTTTTTTTAGCATTTAGACATGAGTCAAAAAAAAGGCAGTCAAATATGAGAGAAAACTATAAAATAACAAGTTTGACTTTTAAGAACACGTTTAAAGTGAAAAAAAAAAAAAAACACTCTCAGCTTTCATCCTAACTCCCTCTTCTCTCCTACCCTTTATGTCGTTGCTATTGGTCTAACCGTTGTTTTTGGCTCTTTTGATGATAATATTCATATATATGACCTCCACTCTACTACCTCCCTCTCTCTCCTCCACCACCACACTTCCTCTATCACCTTCTTTTCCTTTTTGTACCACTCACTCATCTCCTTCATCCACTTAAAGATAATAGGGATAACAATGGCTTTGCTATTCGGATCGAGTGGAAAATAAGATTTCAGTGCATAGGAGATATTGGTTGTGAGCATATTTGAATATCAAAGGAGAAGATTGAAAAGTGAATTATGTTAGGGTTGATAAATCATCAAAGCTACCAATTAATATGACAAATTACAGTGGAGATTGTAGTATGCATAATGGAGAAGGAAGAGTTGTTTAGATTGGTTTATTTATTCCAAAGCTACAGAAGTCTTAAATGAATTTATGTCATTAATATATAAAATAGTCTTCTCATTTAAGTTTGAGTATCCATTTTTCTTGCTATTCATATACATCCAACTGCAAATTTTTTTTCTTCTTTAGCATTCGGTATGTATTTGATGTTTGAGGATGTTTCTTAGCAATTGTATTTATTTTAGTTAAGTAGGTAATGTATTAGGAACATTTTCTTTTTTTCTTTTTTTTTTTTTTTTTTGCTAAAATATAATATGCCATAGTGTAGCAAATTTCAATTTAATTGCAATGATATTTTTGCTATAATGTAATTAAGTTTATGCATAATATATTTCAAAGCATGAAAGCTTATCAGGATAACAATTGTCAAAATGATTTTGACTTCCACCAACTTAAGGAACAACATCATCCAACTTTAAAATGCATCCATGCCAAATGCAAATGGTAAAATATTCATCCATCCTGCATATTCAAGATATAGGCACTTTATAATTGCTCTTATAATATGAGAAAACACAGTAATTTATGCTATTATCTCAATTTTTTATATATGATGCAAAATTGTGAACGTAAAAATTGACACTCATACAAAAAACTGGCCAAGTAAAGCAATAAACACCATAGTTTCTATGTAAAACTAACTTTCCTCTTTTGCAACAAAACATATGCATTACAACTGAACCCTAACACATAGAATGAGACAAAACGACAATCTCCAATACAGTAGCGCATGCTCTAAACGACAACCTCAAATCCATGTTTTGAATATATGTTGTCATAGCAACATCTGGGATGTATGTAATTTATGAGCATCATTGAGTTTTATAGTTAGCGCGTCAATTTTTATTACGCATGGATTATAGACCGTGGTTGCTAGTTGAAGATCGGAGGAGTAATATCAGAGCTGAAGAGTCTTTTTGGTGATATGACTATCGGGAATGTATTTATTTAGAACCTATGTATGGAATTTATATTAATAGCCTATAAAAGTTTATTAATTATGGAGTTAATGTAATATTAAATTGTAAGGATGGAATCTAATTAACTTATGTATGAATGGTTATAGAAATTGCATTTAAGAATATTTAAGACTATAATGATTTATGAGTATGATGATGTTGTTGATAAATTAAAGGAATTTTACAAGTGATATAATTGAGTTGAATTTGATTATGTTAGAGTTTGTTTGTTGTTGAGGTTTGAATTGAGAGTGTTTCGTGTTCACAGATTTTTAGTAAGTTTAGTTTTTAAGGGGAAACTCTTGCAATTTTTCTGTAGGATTTTTTTCAAAATAATTTCTAAGTAAAATCTAAGAGTTATTAGACTTGTGAATACTTAATCATCTTTAATTCATATATATATATATATTAGCTCTACAGTTAATTTATTAGCTAGATTGGTGTCTCCATCACCGAATGTGACATCCATCATCTAATTCTTTGGGACCGGGGCAGAAGGTGTTAAATGATAACAATGAAAAACGAGGAGAAAAAGCATAAAGTGAGAATCAAATTTAGGGATTCTCAATAGTGAAAAGAATCAGATTCATTGGCTACTATTATGGGAATTTATTTATTAATAGAACCTATAAATTAAGTAATAAATAATAATAATGGACGATATATATGTAATAATTTACACCTAATGTAAGATGAATTCATAACTTACTGTATCGAATGAATTATAGAAAATTAGACAATTAAATAATTAATAAGCATATAAATAATGACTTTATGATATGATGATGTTTTTGATAAATTAAAGGCGAATTTTACAAAGTTGAAATATCAGATTTGAGTGAATGAAATTGATCCATGTCTCAGAGTTTAGTTAGTTTGTTGAGGGTGTTGATGAGAGTGTTTTTCGTGTTCACAGCATTTTTTATAAGTTTTAGTTTTTAAGGGGAAAACTCTTGCAATTTTTCTGTAGGATTTTTTTCAAATAATTTCTAAGTAAATCTAGGGAAACTCTTGCAATTTTTCTGTAGGATTTTTTTCAAAATAATTTCTAAGTAAAATCTAAGAGTTATTAGACTTGTGAATACTTAATCATCTTTAATTCATATATATATATATATTAGCTCTACAGTTAATTTATTAGCTAGATTGGTGTCTCCATCACCGAATGTGACATCCATCATCTAATTCTTTGGGACCGGGGCAGAAGGTGTTAAATGATAACAATGAAAAACGAGGAGAAAAAGCATAAAGTGAGAATCAAATTTAGGGATTCTCAATAGTGAAAAGAATCAGATTCATTGGCTGATACCCATGTCTATCATCATGTACTTTAATCTTAAGGTTGGTATCACCAATAACCAATATAGAAAACGACATCATGTAAGAAAGAGGAATTGTGCTAAATGGTGTAGTTGATGTGTTCAGAGAGCGATGTCATTCTTTTCCTCATTAAAAAGGCTAAGTTTTTTTTTTTTTTTTTTTTTTTTTATAATGGCTAAAAGATCTTTAATTTTATTTTTTGTATTTTTTTAATCTGAACTATGAGACTTGCTAAATATGGTTGCAGTGCTCTTTCTATTCATGCGATCACCAACTGACACCGCAATATTTTTTTTTTTTTTTTTTTTTTTTAATCTGACATGGCTTGCTAATATGGTGAGCTTCTTTCTATCATGCGTCCCACTGACAGCAATGTTAACATATTTCTAATGGAAATAGGATGGAGGCTAATATTGCAAAGAAAAATTAAGTTCACAACATTAGTTGCCAAAATTAAAAGAATTTGCTAGAATTGCAAAAACAATCAAAGTTTAAACTTTTGTTTAAAAAATTTTGTTCAAAAGCTAGTTATAAAATCCATATGATTCCATTAATACTTTGGATCAAAAGACTAATGGAATTATAAATTGGTGGATCTTATAAATAGTTTTATTATAATTTAGGAATTTTTTTCGCATTAAAATCCTTTTATGCAATGTCAATTTCTTTAACATCGTTTTATTATAATTTAATAAAGTGAGCCAAAATATAAATAGAGAGAATACTTTTTACTCCCTCTGTTTTGATCAAATATACTAGTTAATCTCACTTTTCCAAAATACGTGGTTATCCTCCTCTGTATTTGACCCGTCAAACATTAACATCCCATGTCCATTTTTTTTAGCATTTAGACATGAATAAGAGCCAAAAAAAAAAAATAGTCAAATATGAGAGAAACTATAAAATGATAATACTGACCTCTGGGAACACGTTTAAAATGAAAAAAAAAAAAAAAAAAAAAAAAAAAAAAAAAAAAAATAAATAATGACACATAACTTAGGACACTGTGTTTAAAAAATGGAATAAAAAATAAGATAAAAAATAATAAAAAAAAAATAAATAAAATAGAGAAACACTTGCATCTTCTCACCACACTAACCGCTCTCCCTCCCTCCGTCACACCACTTATTTTGAATGTGCGAAAAAAAAAAAAAAAAAAAAAAAAAAAAAAAAAAAAAAACACTCTCATCTCTCACCCTAACCCGCTCTTCTCTTCTACCCTTGATGTCGTCGTTGTTGGTCTAGTCACTGTTTCTGGCTCTTCCGATGATAATATTTTTATATATGACCTCCACTCTATTACCTCTCTTAGCTCTCTCTGCCACCACCACACTTCCTATATCACCTTCATCTCCTTTTTTTACTACTCACTTATCTCCTTCATCCACAATATCCTCATCACTATCGACGGCCTTATATGTATCTTTGATGCAAGACAATATAGAGAATAATGGCTTTATTTTTCAGATTGAGTGAAAAATAGGATTGGGGCGCATATGAGATATTGGTTGTGAGCATATTTGAGTATTAAATAAGAAGATTGAAAGGTGAATTATATTAGGGTTGATCAATAATCAAAGCAACCACTAATATGACAAATTACAATTTGGGACGACAATTTTACCCAACCTGGCGAGTACCCGATCCGATTTAGCGGATTAAGATAGTAAATAAATGGGGTTTGGGATGGATTCAGATAGTATTTTTGTTACCTATTTTAAGTTCGGGGTCAAAGACTCGGGAACCCACTACCCGTTACTCGTTTAATAAATATTCAAAGAATATTTAAAATAATTATTTTTTAAAAGAAAAAAATATATTATATATACATAGCCCTTTTTAATTATAATTAATGCTATAATATATTATATTTAATATTTATTTATGTCAAAAAAATAAATAATTTATAATTTTTTACTTGCTTTTACAAAATAAATAATTTTATAATTTTTACTTGCTTTTATTTTTAAAAATTAAAATAAAAATATTTTTAATGCTAAATGGGTATTGGAACAAGTTTGAATTTTTAAACGGGTAACTATAATCGGATTTGGGACGGGCTCAAGTAGCAAAAATGAATTTTTAAATGGGTTCGGGATCGGTTCAGGAACCTAATTTGTAATCATGTTTGGTTTGATTCAGGTAGTGCTTTTTAAGCAAGTATCCGACCCGTTACCATCCCTAATTACAGTGGCATTGTAGAGTGCATAATAGGGAAAGAAGAGTTGTTGGACATTGATTTATCTATTCCAAAACTACAAAAATCTTAAACAAATTTAAGGCATTGATATATTCAGAAGTGTTTCTCATTGGAGTTTTAGTATCCATTTTTCTTGCTATTCATATATACTCAACTGCAAATTTCTTTTTTCTTAGCATTTAGTATGATTGTCATATATAGGAGTGGCCACGGTTTGAAACGGCTGGTTTTGGTTCCAAAAAATCTGGAATTAGAATAGAACCGAAAATTGACGGTTCCGGTTACAGTTTGGAACCGATTGGTTACGGTCTGGAACCGAGCGGTTACAGTTCCAATTCTGATTCCTTAACAGTTCCAAATTAACGGTTCGGCCGGTTCTCCGATTGATTTTTCAGCATTATAAAATCAAAAGTTAGGGAATATTTTTTTATTGAAAATTTAAAATTTAAATATTTATGAAATAATTTTTAGAAAAAACTTGAAGAAAAAAATTAAAAAAAAGGCGTAACTTAATTTATTTATTAAAAAAAAGGCTTGAACTTTTTTTTTTTTTAGAAAAAGGGCTTGAACTTTTTTTTTAATTTATTTATTAAAAAAAAGGCTTGAACTTTTTTTTTTTTTAGAAAAAGGGCTTGAACTTAATTTATTTTTTAAAATGAAATGGGGCATTTATAGTAAATCCAAAAAATTAATTTTCCACAAATACCCTTAAAACTAGCCGTTATATAGTTTTTAGGAGGGTTAATTTTGAAATTTCATAAAAATATTTAAAAAATAAAAAATATTTAAACCGGGTGAAACCGTCGGTTCGAAGCGTTGGAACCGCCGGTTGGAAAAACAGTCGATTCTAGCCTGTTCTGACCGATTCTTAGAACCGTCGGTTCACGGTTCCTTAAAAGTTAGAACCGAAACCGAACCGCTGACCCCAATTCCGATTCCAGTTCAGACCGATTTCAATTCCTCACGGTTTCGATTTCGGTTCCCACAGTATTGGACCGGCCGTTCCGTTTCCAAAAATCGGAAAATGGCCACCCCTAGTCATAGATTTATTTGATGTTTGAGTATGTAATTTTGTTTCTTTAAAATTTTAGAATGAACCTTCCTTATATTTGTCATATACGATCTCTTGGTTGAAATTGTTTCAAATTTTATTTTCCTTGGCTGCATTTACTCTGAATATAGATGGATAGAGATGAGATGAAGGAGTTTTTTTATCTTTTCCATACAAATTGACGGTAAAAGCTCTTAAAATAGATGGAAGGACTAAATAATTGGATGAGAGCAAAAATTAGGAGTCTAATAATGTATTTTTAAAAAAGTGAGGACTAAATAGTATATTTGACCAAAGTCGAAAGATTAAATAATAATGTTCCCATATTTATAGTGCAAACAGAAAGTTGAAAAGAAAAAATGGTAATAAGTATAGGACCTTGCTAAATAGCTCAATTTAGGGGTGGCCAAAATCCAATTTTCGAAACCAGAATCATCGGTTCCGAACCAGTAGGAACCGAAACTGGAACCAGTGGGAACCGGAATCAGTCCGAACCTAAATCAGAACCGTCCAAACCGGTTCGGTTTCGGTTCCACCAGTTTTGGAACCATGAACCAGCGGTTCCAGCTCCAGTCGGAACCGACGGTTCTAGTTCCATCTGAAATCAGCCGGAACCGGTTCGAAATCAGCCTGAACCGTTGAAAAACCCGTCTGAGAACCATTATTTTAGAGGATCATTTATAATATTGGTATTTTTTTTTTTTTTACTTTTTACTAAAGCCTATGATTATACAATTACTTTTTTTTTTTTTGAAAAAAAAAAATTTCTTTCAATATGTTAGATGGTTTATTAATATAACGTGTTATATTATAATTTTATAAATTATATATATTTCTGGTAAGTTTTATTTTCTATTTTATATCAAACAATAAATCTTATAATATATTTCTTAATAATAATATATTTTCTTAATAAATCAATAATAAAGTACATCTATTATATTTGTAAAAATAAGTTATCTTGTAGAAATGAATTCAACAATCAAATTAAAAAGATTTATTATAGAATAATAATAAATATATCATATTGTTTTTTTGCCATATTTAATATGTATCTTATAATAATATAGATATATATAACTAATTCCAAAATTAGATTTACCTTGGTGTTTCAAATCAATAAAATTAAGATCCGTAAAGATATTGAATATTTTTTACCATATTTTAATAATATATATTGTCGTAATAATAATATAATTTCCTTAATTTATCCAATAGAATTATTTAATAGAATAAGTTAATATAACTAATCTAAAATTAAATTACCTTATTTTTTAACATAAATTAAATACCTTAAAGTATTATATTCTTTGACCGTATTTTAATATATACCTTATATAGTGATTAACAAGAACTTCATATTTTTATTCATTGTATAATATAGATTAAATAAAAAATTAATATAACTGGTCAAAATTAATTAAAGCTTATTAATTGTTAAACCAAAAAATTAAAAGTCAATTGAATAATATTTTTATTACCCATAAACTTAAACTTTGATATTTTATATCTTATTCCCTAAAAAAAAAAAAAAAAAAAAAAAAAAATCATTAAGTGGATAAAAAAACTAAAATACTTTCTTTTATACTATAATTTTAAAATTTGGAAGTTAAAGCATTTTAAGTTAAAAATTTAATTTCTATTGCTACGTTGGGATGTAAAATATTCTCAAGACTCAGCAAACTTCGTCACGAAGTTTGGCCGTACAAGGGTGTTTATATTATATGTTTGTTGACTTTAAGTCAAGGTGCTTTTTTTCTTTGTTCCAATTCTTTAGGTGATGTTGGCTTTGTGGAGAAACATACATACATCGTCGTTCATTGAAGCTTGGTAGAAGCTTCATCTTCACCTTCACCTTCATCTTCTACATAAGGTACAGTAGCATCTATCTTGCTTTCGTTCAGCGCAATTACTGGCCTACTCCTTCCTTTAATTTCTTGCAGTGTAATTTTAAACTATTCCTTCAATCTCTCTCTGTAATATTTCTGTTTTGTTGGGATCGTGTAAAGAAACTGGAGAGGACGAAGATGGAAATGATGGAGGGAAAAAGGATTATGGGTAGAGGATTAATAGATGAAGTGTTTTCTTGGTCCATTCATGATGTGCTCAACGATAATCTTTACAAATTCCAGGTTGGGTATTCTCACTATATATATATATATATATATAAAATCTCCTTTTAGGTGTTTTTTCAGTTGTTTCTTGCATGCAGCTGATAGATTAATTGAAGATTTTTATAAGGAATTGCATCTTTCAATTTATATATGATTGCATCTTTCAATTTATATATGAGAAGGTTGATAGCAGGGGTGGAGCTGGACTTTAAAATTTGGGGAGATAAAAATAAATTTTTCAAAAGTTAGGGATCAAAATGAAGAAAAAAATTTTTTTATACTAATTTATAATGCAAATTTTTTTAAAAAAAATTCTGGAGTTTGGGGCCCGCGCTCCCCCAGTCCCGCCTCCCTCCGCCCCTGATTGATAGGCATACGATGTTATTCAATTTTTATTTATTTTTTAATCATTAGTAATATATTATTATATTGTCCTCTTACAATATATTAGCAAGCAGCTAGATTTGACATTTGCATTGTGTTATTTTATTTTTTTTAATTATATACTATTATCATTTTCTTTATTATGTATAGAAAATATTAACCATAAATAAAATAAGGCTAATTAAGTCATTAAAATTATATAAAATGCTTTCTTGCATTAACCATAAATAAAATAAGGCTAATTAAGTCATTAAAATTATATAAAATGCTTTCTTGCATTCCACAAAACAATTTTATAAACTATACGCGCCATCTGATGTAAATCAACTCGAAATATTATCTAGAATTTATTTGCTTTATTTTTAAAAAACCCTTACTATAATAATTTTAATCAAATAGAAAAATGAAGAGTTCTGTCATAAAATTTTAGATTATTTAAATTTATAGAATTCATTTAAAAATTTTATTTATTTGGTAAAATTTAGTTTTGTTATATTTAAATCCATAGAATATAATTTGCAGAATTGAATTCTTCGTTGTAATCTATAATGTTTTGTAAGGGAGACGAATATCATCTGTGTGGTCTACAATGTTTTTCTGAGTACTATAGTGATCAAAAGTAATTTGACCAAGAAAATATTATGATTTTTAAATCACAATCAGCAACTATGAACTTTGCTTACATAATTAAAGGGGAAGTGTTATTTTCATAAACTAATTTAGGGTTTAGTGTTTTGATTGGGTTAAAACACTGTTTTAATTAATTATTGTATTCGGTAATATCACATTTATCTTAACGTTTAGAGTTTGAAGTAGTGTTTCATGAAACGTTGTCCTCATTAACTTTGAGGGTTTTATAAATTTTTTATAACGCCTATGTCTATCTTGTGTTTATCTTGTTTTCTATTACTTTTTTTTTTGTCTTTTTATATTAAATAGTTAATCAAACACTTATTTTTACCGAACGTTTCTATTTTAACCGCTATATAAATAGCTAACTACTAACCACTAACAACTAGTAAAACAGTTAACAGGTACTATAATAGCTAACATTTACTAGAACTGCTAAAGTTACCGAACATATGCCCTTAATTAATTGTTTGAAGATAAAAAATCTGATTTCTGCCCTTATATCTAAATTAATGTTTATTGTATTTAAAAATAAAAAAATCCTTAATGTACTTGTATTTAGGTCTCTTAAGTTTTTCAAGAAATGACATGATGGGAACCTAAAGTTGGATATGCTCAATTAACAAAATTAAAAAGACTATGCTATAATTGGAAAAAAATACTAAGGGTCTGTTCGGTAATATTAATTGTTTTACTAACTGTTAATTGAATTTGTTGAATTAGTTGCTTAATTAGTTGAATTCGAGAGAAAAAAATGCATGATATGATTGTTAAAAAAAATAATTAATCTCAATAAAATGCTAAAAGTAGATTGTTTAAGGTGTCGTAAAGGCTCCCTCAAGACTCCAAAAAGCTATTATGAAAGCGGTTGTGGGATAGCTGTAGAAGTTCATAAGTTATTAACTTTTTTTTTTCTTGATTTCTACATTTTTTATTTTAAAAAATAAAAATTATAAATTTTATCCTTTCTTTTGCACTTAACTAATAAAATTAAATTTTATTTATTTATTTTAAGAAATGAATGAGATGATCTTTCACATTTGCTTCTGCTAAAAAATAGTCTATTCATCTAAAAATATGCATTACTGAGAACTCTTTTCCGTCGTGAAAGGATAATTATAATAGGCAAAGTATTTGAATGCCTTTTTATAGTAAGAATAAAAGAAAAAAAAAATCTCAAATTAAATTTTTTTCATTTTTCTATTTAGATGTTAAAATAATTTTATGATTAAGACAATATCATTTTGGTTGTAGTCAATTGCACACTTTTTTTAAAAATAACTTTTAGATACTTTATAATTAAAATTTTTATATAAACTTTAATAATATAATATATTTTTATATAAAATAAAATTATTTTTTGAGATAAAAAGTATTTAAATATATTCACAATTAAAAAAGGTTTTTATAATTAATTTATACTTGTATAACATAATTTTTTTTATAATATATTAAAATGTCTTTATCATTTAAAAATTTGTAGATGAAAAATATCTCAACTTTTAGCAAATAATTAAAGGTGGCAAAATTCTGAAAATTGGTTTAATTGTGCCAGTTTTGATTTTAAACATTAATTAATGACAAATTTTAAGGATTAAGAAATAATAATCTACCGTTTGTTTAATTAATAAACAAAAGAGTGATTTGGATTCACCGTCATCACAATGCCTATAATTACAAAGCAAAAAGTGTCACCAATCACAATGCCTAATAATTACAAGCAAAAAATGTTTGCATTGATGATTTTTTTTTTAGTACAGGGAAGGGATATTTGAATCTGAATCTATTGCTAGGTCATATGTGCATTTATTATTAGGCAATGTCACTGTGTGCATATTGAAAACTTTTAAATACATGAAATTTCTCAAAATTCATATATTTCATGAGTTATAATTTCATGGATTTGATGAATATTTATAAAATTATGGAAAATATCTAAGAATTTCTCTCCCATGTATGTTTGTCATTTTAAATATAAGAGCCATTTGAGAAAATTTTTCAAAATCCATGAATTGTGTCTTTTCAACAATCAGATGATAAAATTTCATGGATTTTGCAGATTAATTTGTTCAAAATCTCTGAATCCAAACATTGTCAGTAGCATGCAGATGCATTTCTAAACTCGTTCAGGCATTTCGTCGAGAACCTTCTCTGCAAGTTCTGATCACATGGACTGCAATATCCTCTCAGTACATTTGCTCAAAGAGACCAACCTTACAATGCAAAAAATGCATGCTTAATGAAGCCTCATTATTTTTAGTCTTGGACTCAAGTTGGGGAAAGCTTCCATTGTTGTACTATAGCTAATTCTGATCTCCCACTAATATTCAGTGCTTATTTCAAATCACAACTTCTATCAATTAAGGAAATGGCCACCTGATTTGGATTGTTTGGAAGGATACATCTGATAATATTCAGTGGCCATTACCTTTATTATCTTCATGCAGTTTTAGTTACTGTGAGAATAAATTATCTTAGAATAAGTAGAATAAAATGGGCTGTTAGGTTTATTATTAGTTTGGGTTATTTGAGACTTGGCCATTCTTTACCTTCTGCCTTAGCATTGTCTATGATACATGGTCATGTATCATAGCATAATCTGGAAGCGCTTTTGCATTTAAACTATGATATTATGTTTTTATTGATGGTACTTGATTCTGCTATCCCTGGCAGTAATTAAGTAATTAGGGGGAGCCATGGGCCAGTCCAGTCAGATTCTGGATTGGAATTGGCAGCTCCAGTTCATGGAATTCCGGAAAAGGAGCTGTTCTGCTTGAAGTCCTATTCTGGTTGGTTTCAGGGACAACTTGTTTTTAATAATCCAGTCTGGAACCAGCTAGTTTGGAACTGCAGACCGTTTCCGATCTGTTCTGGTCAGTTTTTTGAGAGATAGGAAGAGATCCAGTGCATAACCGTGGACTACGGTTCCAGTCCAGCTCTAGCAGTATCTATGTTATTTTCATTCCTGAAGCATGTATTTTCCTGTAATTTTTTTCCAGTCCAGCTCTAGCAGTATCTATGTTATTTTCATTCCTGAAGCATGTATTTTCCTGTAATTTTTTTCACAAAATTTCTTTTAACAAAAAAAAAACCATAATAAGTTTTTGCAACCCCACAAATCTTACTCCCATTCTCAATTCCTGTTGTCTTGTTACAGGTGAGGAAGATTCCAGACACATTCATGTCAACAACACATTATCTGAAAACATTCATTACCCCACTTCTTGAAGAAACACGTGCCGAGTTGTCTTCAGGCATACAAGGACTGTCTCGAGCACCTGCAAGTGAAATATCCTCTATTAAGATGTCTCGAGCACCTGCAAGTGAAATATCCTCTATTAAGATATGTAAGGGGTATACACTTCCAAAAGACTTGTTTTATGAAATTTCACTAAAAAGAGAAGGGACTAAGAACAACGGAGTAGTATATGAGCCTGTGGTTGGAGATCTTATTGCCTTGGCTGATGTGAGACCAAAATGTACTGATGATTTGAGCAGGTCCAAACAATCTTATCTTATTGCTTATGTTCATGGAGTCAAAGGTGACTTTTCTGATGGACTCTCAGTAATATTGTCAAAGCCTTTAGTGCTTGAACAAGATATTCAAAAGGACAAGAAAGAAACATTTTTTGCTGTTTTTTTGATAAACTTGACGACAAATGTTCGTATATGGAGAGCATTAAACTCAGAATTGGAAGGAGAGAACATGAACATTATTCAAGAAGTGCTGCAAAATAATTCTAGTGTAAGAATCATGGTTAATTTCTTGTTTCTTCAATATCCTACGCTAAGGGCTTGTTTTGGCATTACTATTGTAAATAGCAGATTTGGAGCTAAACATATGGAGTATTTTATTGGCCTTATGAATATAGATTTTCACAATATGATTTCTTATGGACCTAAAGCTAATTTTGGGAAAAAGCAAATTAAATATGAGCTTTTCCTATGATTAGTTTTGGGCCAATAAAAATAAAATTACAAAAATCCATTATTCATTGAATAATGAGAATCTTGCTTATTTTCTATCCAAATTTGTTATTTGAAAAAACAATGCCAACTAGCCCTTAAAACTGCTAAGTTAACATCTTTGGCAAAAAGTTTCTTTGCTCTCAGCATACTATTGTGTATACTAAACACAGGCGCAGATTTTTCTTTGCATCCTTTGATTGTATAAATCTAAACCAATCTCCTCGTAATTGTTTCTGTATGTGACACATGTACTTTCTACAACCTAATAATATATCATTTCTTGCAGGATGGTGAGAAGTGTAGCATCTGCTCTTCTAGAGACAAAAAAGGTGCTTTCTTGTCATGCATAAAGGACATATACTGCTCTTCTGACTTAAATGATTCACAAAAAGCTGCAGTTCTGAGCTGTATCAGTACAGGGGACTGCTCACATCGGAATTCTGTCAAACTAATATGGGGGCCTCCAGGAACAGGGAAAACAAAGACAGTTGGTTTTCTGATACATGCCCTATTTACCATGAAATGCAGGACACTTACTTGTGCTCCAACTAACATAGCAGTGTTGGAAGTCGCAATGCGCGTGCTGAATTCAGTTGTCAAGGTGCTGGAATATGATACTTATGGTATTGGAGATATAGTTCTGTTTGGCAATCAGGAAAGGATGAATATTGACAATCAGAGTGAACTTTACAATGTATATCTTGATAATCGTGCAAATATTGACAATCAGAGTGAACTTTACAATGTATATCTTGATAATCGTGCAGACATACTTTACAGTTGTTTAGCTCCTGAGTCTGGGTGGAATCATAGTCTGGCATCAATGATAAATTTGCTCGAAGACCCTGAAGAGCAGTACCATCTTTACTTGCAAGAAATCCCAACAGAGAAAGTCAAAGTGGATAAAACTGATAAAAATTGTGAACAAAAGAATAAAAAGAGTACGGTAAAACAGAAGGAAAGTTTGCATATTGGGAAAGATAAGCAAAAATTGAAAGATGAGGAAGTGGAAAATGGAGATGGCTGCTCTAAGAACAAGAAAATTGAAGAAAAGGTTGGAAAACATTATCATTTGACATTTGAGGAATTTGTAGAGGAAAGATTCAAATCCATTGGAGAACAGTTGAAATTTTGCATTACAAATTTGTATACACATATCCATTGGAGAACAGTTGAATCCATTGAACTTGCTGAAAAACATGATGAATTCTCTTGATTTGCTGAAGTCTCTTGAAAATTTGTTGGTTAGAATTAATATTCCTAATCAAGGGTTGAAGCAACTTCTCAAGATAAATGAGAATGTGGGAAGCAGAGTTCATAACCATTTGCAGCTGAGGAACAAAATTAATGAGTGTCTTACTACACTAAAATCACTTCCTCAAACATTCCCAGTTCCAAATTTCTCCAATATTTATGAAATAAAAGAATTTTGCTCGGGGAATGCTTGTCTGCTTTTTTGTACTACATCAAGCTCCATTAAATTGCGCAAAAAAAGAATGGCGCCTATACAATTTTTGGTTATTGATGAAGCTGCACAGCTTAAAGAATGTGAATCAAATATTCCCTTACAACTCTCTGGTCTTTGCCATGCTGTTCTTGTTGGAGACGAAAGACAATTGCCAGCAATGGTTAATAGCAAGGTTTGGAATTTCTGAACTTATTATATTCCTTTGTCTTCCATTGTCAGTAAAATGCTTTTCATTTTTTCATATTTTAACAAATGTAATGATCATTAGATTTCTGAGAAAGCTGGATTTGGAAGAAGTTTGTTTGAGAGGTTGGTAAAGAATGGATACAAAAGGTACCTCCTCAACATCCAATACAGAATGCATCCTTCCATAAGCTTATTTCCAAATAGAGAATTCTATGGCAAGCAGATTTTGGATGCCCCGAATGTCAAAGAAGAATTCTATGGCAAGCAGATTTTGGATGCCCCGAATGTCAAAGAAATAAGTCATGAAAAACATTTCCTTGAAGGAAATATGTATGGTTCCTATTCATTTATAAACGTAGCCCATGGGAAAGAGGAATTTAATGAGTTCCATAGTTTGAAAAATATGGTTGAGATTGCTGTTATTGCTGAAGTACTCGCAAACCTATATGAAGGTATCAATTTAACTTTGGCTAGGAAATTTTAATAGTCTGTTTAGCATTGAGGTTGAAACTGCTTTTTCGAGAAAGCATCATTGCAGATGCTATTAGAAAAAGCAGTTTGGGAGTGATGGTTAGCTACTTTGAAGCTTTTATGATCAAATAGTGAGAAATTCAGCTTAAAAATGACATATGGTCAATATTTCAATGTTTATGTTTCTCTTAAAAACAGCTCAAACCTTAATTTCAAACAGAACTTAAGTACTCATTGTGGGATTAAGCGGTGTCTTTGTTTTTGCATTACAGAATTCATTAGAACAAAGAAGAAGGTTAGCATAGGTGTCGTATCACCATACAAGGCTCAGGTTCATGCAATTCAAGAGAAGATTGGAAAAAAATACAGTTCAAATTCTGATGGGGAATTCTCTGTAAATGTTCGCTCCATTGATGGTTTTCAAGGTGGTGAAGAGGATGTTATAATGTTTTCCACTGTTAGATGTAACGACAAAGGATCAGTGGGTTTTCTTTCCAACTGGCAAAGAGCAAATGTAGCACTAACACGCGCAAGGTGTTAATTGAAAACTGAAAATTATAGTCTCAGCAGTTGCTTAAATATTTTATTTTTCTTCTATTATTGATTTAGAAATTATAAGTTTTGGTTTGGTTGTGTAGATATTGCCTTTGGATATTTGGAAATGAAGCAACTTTAAGTAAGAGCAGCTCTATTTGGAGAAAGGTAGTCAGTGATGCCAAGTTGCGAGGCTGCTTCTATAATGCTGATGATGACAAAAGATTGGCAGAAGCTATTATAGCTGCCCCAATTGCGCTTGACCAAATTGGTATTTTTTAATTATAGCTGCCCCAATTGCGCTTGACCAAATTGGTATTTTTTATAGTTATTTACATTTTTTTTCCTTTTATATTATGTACTTTTCATGGTTGCTTCGCTTGCCTGATATAACAATGAAGTGCTTTTGGCTTAATTATGAGCATTGCAAAGTCAGACCAAAATAATTGGATATGTCTAAAAACTTCCTACACTTATATATAGTTGAATTTTACTTATCAGTAAAACTAATCGCAAAAAATTTTATTGTGACTTTCAGATGCTAAAAACTTACTGACAAGCACTTCTGGAGGTGATGCTATTAAACTTTCAGAATCATTTTCATCACTCAGTATAAGGGATGAATCAACTTCTCCTGGCACAATTCAAAAGTACGTATTTAGAGAGTTATTTTCAGTATAAAAAAATTGATGTTTCTGTTCCCCATTTCAACTGGTATAGGATTTTGATGTCACCTGCTAGATATGTTCTGACCATTTTGAAAGGACTAAATATTTTGCGTTAATGATGAATAGAGAAGAAGTCAAGTTGAAGTACCAAGCTCAGAGTAAAGCCAATACATCTGGATCAAACCCATGGAAATAAGGATCCAATATAAATCTGAGGTAAGATTTTTCAAGATCAGGGACAAATTTAGAATTTGAGTTTTTTGGAGGATCAAAGTGAAAATAGCATCTGTCTTTTGTTTTCTCTTTTTCCCCTCAAAACTTAATGAGCGAATTACTGTTTAGTCGGAATTTATTAAAATATAAATTTTGACCATTAAATTTCATCGAACCTCATACTAATTAACATTTATCCTAGGACTTTTTATACCAGTAATTTGTCTTTTACGGACTTTTTATACCAGTAATTTGTCTTTTACACTCTGTTTCAAAATAATGAAGGAATCAAAATAATTGAAGAAAATATTAATGAATTGTTAATTTTCTTTCTATTGGTATTTTTCACCCATGTGTTTGGATAATGAAAGAAAAAAAAAAATTATTTTCCTTTGTTTGGAAAAGACAATTTTATGGGAAAAAGTTATTAATAATGATATCTTACCATTTTAATCTTATCTATCATTTTAGAGGACTTTGACGATCAAATAACTTCAATAGTTAGCTAAGAATAACTATTATTAATTTCAATAGTTATTAATAAATCGTCAAATAACTATTGAAGTTATTTGACGATCAGATAACTTCAATAGTTAGCTAAGAATAGTTTGCATATTTAGGTAATTGTATAAAAATTAGAGAAACTTCATCATTCCACAGTTATTCTTCCCAAATAGAGAGATTTTATTTATGTTCCTTTATTATTTTTCCTTCTTTTCCAAAAGAGAGATTTTATTTATGTTCCTTTATTATTTTTCCTTCTTTTCCAAACAAGGTAAAATTGTTTTTCACAGTTATTTTTCTCAGCTATTTTGATTTATTCAAAAAAATAACTCCATCCAAACAGAGTATTAATTAATTAATTAAAAAAATTTAGAGATGGAGTGAATGAAATTACAGAGATAAGTCAAACTACAGGGACTAGACAGCAATTCTTCCATTTGTAATTGGTCAGGTGCTGAAACGTCAATACTGATCCCTGCTGAATTGTTCTTATAAAGACGTTGGCAATGCAGGTAACAGACTTTCCAGAGATTATTCATATGCTTTAACTCAATTTTGTATCATTATTTTGTTTTATAACTCAATTTTGTTGCTTCTACAATTTCTCAATCATATAAGAATGGAGATGGCAACAATGAGCACAAGGGCAATGATAATGGAATGGAGACGGCAAAAGGAGGCAGTTATTATAAGCAAAGGACATATTAATGATATGGGCGCTTTTGTTAGGGTTTGGAAACATAGAAATGATATGGGCGCTTAATTCCAAAGCTTTGCGTATAACCAGCCCACTGTCTCTGTTAAATTGAAATCTCTACTGATATTTTTTAGATATATAAACAAGCGTGTAGTAATTTTTGTATGGGAAGGCATTTGCGACGTCGTTTCTTGGAATTTTCCCTCGTCTCTCCCTCTCTGGATTTCATTATTTTTATTTCACGTTTCCTGGAATATTAGATGCGAATCCACAAAGTGATAAAAGAAACCATTTCATTCACTAATTAGAGAGAAGGAAAGAAAGAAAATGCAGATTTTGAGTCCTCCACCAATGGAAAATTAGCGACTAATCTGTGACATATTAATATTTTTTTATAGTCCGAAACAATATTATGAATTACATAATATAAATATTTCTTCGCTTTATTGATAAAATTGATAAAAACTTATAGTCAATATATTTCGAGCCTAAAATCTATACTTCCCAAATTGCTGAGAATTAAACTACATACGATTAGTCCTTTGGGTGTGTTTTTTGGATCAAATTTTTGAGAATAGCTCTATTATTGAATGGAGAATGTATATGAATGGGCTAAATCTTGATGACCAATTTAAACTTTCAATATATGTTATGGCGTGCTGGGAAATGTGGAGAAAGAATATAAAGTTCAATTTTATTTCAGTGCCATAAACGAGCCAAGTTGAACTAAATTCACATTGTTTGAGAATTGAGACTAATTTATAGCATGTGATTTGAGTTTGAGCCAAATCTGAGTTTAATATTGAGCTCAAAATTTTGTTCAAACTTAATTTGTTCAATTTTTAAATGAATTCGAGCTTGTTCACGATTCTATTCAACTAATTAAAATTATTATTTTAATATATTATTTCTATCTAATAATAATTACATATTCATATATACTTTATATGTTAAAAATTTATTTTATTCTTAACTAAAATTTATAAAATATAAAAGAAAAATGATTTTTTTTCATAATATTAGTATATTAATAATTTTTGTTTCAAGCTCTTAACAAGCTTTTATAAATTATCAAGCTTGTTTGTAAAAATAATCAAGCTTTAAAGCTTATGTTTTGAGTTTGATTTGGTTAACAAACAAGTTTGAATTAAACATTTACTGAATTGAACACAAACAAGCTTTCCAAAACTCGAAAAGGAACTAAGGAAATTAACACTTTCCAAAACTCGTTTAAAGCCACTTCTTTTTTTTTCCTCCAATATGGAAAAAAATGAAAGGAAATGAAGGGAAGTAAATTCAATGAAACTTCTATTTCCAAATACATACTTTAAATAATTTCACTTCCTTTCCTTTCTTTTTCCGACATCTTTTATAATCAAACTAAACACCAAAGAAAAGGATGATTAAGAAGCAGTAAGTGAAATAATATTGAGCATCTTAAAGGAGTTGATATTAGGAAATGAAGAGGAAGACCCAAGATGACATGGAAACAAGTGAAAAAAAAAAAAAATCTAGATATGCTAAGTCTTTGTAAAGAAGTAATGCAGAACGGAGCAGAATGGAAGAAGCAAATCCATGTAGCCAACTCCAACTAGCATGGGATTAGGGCTTAGTCGTCGTTAGGGCTACTAGCATGGGATTAGGGCTTAGTCGTCGTCGTATTGTTATCGTGCCTAAAAAGAAGTATGCTTGTAATTTGCAGGTTTTGAGTTAGAAAGCCCTTGGGTCCTACTCCAACTGGACCCAGGGGATATCAAACTTAGAGATCTGATATTAAAACTCAAATAATTTATGGTTGTAATTCTGTTCTACAACAGATATAAAGAGGGTTTGCAATATCCTTCAGTAGTTTTCTTTTTAAAGTTATATAGTAAAGTAGATTTCTTTTTAAAATTTGGTAATACCTTTGACTGTGGCATGACACCTACATCTGGTAGATTTCACTGCATATAATTACCATGGTGCAACAACAAGACTGCTGTTATCATTGAAAGTTGACAACTATATTTAGACTACATATTGGTGACTGGCATTAACTATAGTAACTTCCTAGAATTGCAATATACAGTCTACAACTTGTGCAAGTCTAATTATAGTAACCAATTTCAATAGTAACAGGATATCAGGTCTACAGAATCTAACCTGGAGATTGTAGAGTCCAGATTCCAGTTTTCGATTGTATCTTTCCTCTTCATCCATCTGCACCATATTCAGGGTGCTGTGAATTATATACTCCCAAATTATAAACATGCTGTGACAACAAAATCAAAAAAGTAAAATACCTCTAAGTCATCGAGTTCAAGCTGGTCCATCCGTTCAGTCTCTTCTTTTACCCTATCTGAATATGTTCAGTCTCTTCTTTTACCCTATCTGAATATCTGAGTCAAGATTATCCAGATGTTAATCACATGCATTTAGGCCTCAAAAGTAAATTTAGCCGAGAACCCAGAACCCCTTACTGCAGATGCAGTAGGAGCAGAAAGAAATCTTGTATAGTTCATCAGCAAAACAAAAGAAAAAAAAAAGAAAGAGACAAGAAAAAAGGACGAAAGTTCTTCAAAAATTGCATGGTAGAAATTCAAAACTCATAAGACTTTAATGCTTTGTGTGGTTGAGGGGAAAAGAAACAGAGTGGACCATTACCTTATATAGAGTTCCATTAGGCGATCTATTTTCTCACATTCATTTTCAACAAATTTACTCAGCAATCTTTCCCTTCTTTGAACCTCTCAAAATTCCACCTAGAAAATAAGAAGAGCGACATCAAAAGCAAGATCAAATGACAATTATGATCCCCTTTTTTTAAAATTTTTTACTATGTCAAAGAGTAAGAAGAGCGACATCAAAAGCAAGATCAAATGACAATTATGATCCCCTTTTTTTAAAATTTTTTACTATGTCAAAGAGTTCCTGCCACGTTGATTCAATGAAGGACAATGATAAAATAAACTATTATAGTATTTTCTCAGTTTCATCTATTATGGATGGAATACATAACAAGCTTATTTTTCTATTTAGGGACATAAATAGTGTAATACTGGTGAGCTATTGGAGGCTCGGCTGAAAAAAAGCTATTTCGAGTTTGTTCAATAAGCTTGATGAGCCAAACTTGCACCTGCTTATCAAGCTCGTTAAATAAATAAGCGAAGCTTGAGCTTTAAAATGAGGTTCATGAGCCGGCTTGGCTAGCTTTATAACAGTAAACCAGCCGAGCTCGAGTTTGGTAGAACTCGACTCAGCTCATTCACATATTTAGTTCTATTAGTGACTCTAGAATCACTACAAGCTAAAAATGGTTCTAAAAGGTTATTTTGGCTATAAAAACTCCAAAACAACTGAAAAAAGAGAGTTTAAACTGCTTTAAGAACAAGATAACTAATGGAAGCTTTCTCAAAAAAGTATTCTTTTATAGAAAGAAACAAGATAACTAATGGAACTTTCTCAAAAAAAGTATTTTCAACCTCTGCGAACAAATGTTATCGTTTAACCTTTGCCCTTTTTTATTTGAGGTCTGTTGTTTTAGAGAGGAATTTGCAAGGGTAAGGCCTTCCTAGTACTCGGAGATATAGGCAAACTAGACCCGACAATCTTAGAAGTGTATTATAACTTGCCTGCTTTACCAAATAGTGATGCAACTTAGGGATATGGGAATCACAATGCGGCGTCGTCTGTCCTCTTGGTATCGTTCTTCATCTTATTCTTCTTGCTCATGCTGGGGATGACTAAAAGTATTTATATTAATTATAAAGGATGTTTAAATAAGTAATCACTATTTATTGACTTTTGAAAGTCAAGGTGCTTTGTTCCTTTATACAATTCTTTTAGGGTCACCGTTGCTCTTTGTGCGAAAGAAACATACATAGTATCGTCGTTCATTTGTTAGCTTGGTGAGAAGCTATCATCTTCCACACCTTCACGTCTTCATCTTTCTACCGCATACGTTACAGAAAGCAGAGTTCTATCTTGCTTTGTAGTTCCGGCAGATTACTGGCCTACTCCTCTCCCTTAATTTCTTGTAGTTGTAGGATTTTAAAACTATTCCTTCCGGAGATTCTCGTCTCCTCATATTCTCACTTTTTTGTAGGAGATTCGTGTCAAAAGAATTTTAACTATGGAGAGGTACGAAAGAATCGGGAAATTGAAGGGCAGGGGATATAATGGATATTGGGTGAAGGCTAGGATTTAATAGAATGACAGTGTTTCTATGGTCCATTCATAGAATGTGCTCAACTCGATAAATCTTATACAAATTCAGGTCGGGTTAGTTTCTCACTAATATATAATATACTTATTTAGGTAGTAATGCGTCGAGCTTTTATGGTGTTCTTTCAGTTGTTTCCCTTCCGTGAACAAGCTGATAGATTAATTGAAGATTTTTTTATATAAGGAATTGTAGCAGTCTTTCAATTTATTATATGTGGATGCGGATAGGTGTGCTAACAGGGCGTGGAGATGGACTGTTTAAAAATTAGAGTGGAGAGTCAAAATAGAATTTTTCGCAAAAAAAGATTAGGGATCAACGAAGTGAAGAAAAAAGAATTTTTTTATAACCCTAACGGATTATAGGTAAATTTAGAAAAAAATTCTGCGATTTGGGGGCACGCCCCCTCCACAGGTCCCGCTCCCTGCGCGCCCTGCTTGGATAGGGCATATGAATGTTATATCAAATATTTATTATTTTTTACATCAATTACCAGCAAACATATTATTATACTTGTCCGTCTCACACAATAATTTTAGCAAAGCAGCTTAGATACTTGACATTTGCATTGTGTATAGTTTGGAATTTTTTTTTTTAAAATTAGTACCAGCTATGTATCTGATTTTCCTTATTTATCATTGGTATAGAAAATGAAGTAACCCATAAAATAAGGAATACAGGGCTAGAGGTTAAGTCATTTATTAAGGAATTATATAAGAACGACTTTACTTGGCATTCGCCCGAAATTAAAGTCGTTAGACGTTAGACTCTAATACCTCCAACACCGTTATGGTATAAGGTCATTACTCTTGAGAGAATATTGAGAAATATTTATATGAATGAGCTATTAGTTTGTCTGTTGGTGTTTTAGGGAATAGCGCTTTAGTGATGAAGCATACATTTTAGAGAATTGGAGATATCAAGGCGAGATCATGGGATTATTTGTCAGGGAGCATATTGTTAGATACTATATCGTTGTTAACATCACTGTGGAATTTCCATATGAAGTGTGAGATTTTAATTGATAGATCGTGTATTTATGTTCGGGATAGTCTTATTATTTGAGTGAGGGAAATTTAGTATCTTTGTTATATTTTTAAGATCCATAGAATGATACATGTGCAGATACTTGAGATTACTCTCCATCACGTAAATTGTTACACCATTATAATAATAAAATTTCAAAAATTGTGAGAAATTTCAATATTGTAGTCCCTATAATGTTTGTGTAAGGGAGACGAATATCCAATCTGTGGGGTCAGTCTAAATGTTTTTCTGAAGTTACTGAATAGTGGAGTCAAAAGTAATCGTTGTATCTAGAGAAAAAATATTATGCATTTTTATAAAGTCACAATCCAGCAATATGAACTATTATGCTTAACATAAATAAAAGGGAAAGTGTATTTTCTATAAACTATCTTGACGATTTGTTTGGTTCTTAAGAGCGAGTTTAGAGTTAATGTTTAGTGTTTTGATTAGTTTAAACATACTGTTTCTAATTAAATTATATGTATGTCGGTTATTATCACATCTTTCTAAGCATTTATAAATTTAAGGTAGTGGTATTCTTGAAACTGTTTACGTTTTTATAAATCTTATTTATATAATGTTCTAAACGCATATTTTCATCTGTGTTTATCTCTGCTTTCTATATTTCTTATATTATCTATTTATCTCGTCTTCTTATTATATTAATAGGCTAATCATATTTATTTTTAACGTCCCGAATATGCCATCCTGAGAACCCGATAGCTCGTCATTGCCTTAATTATCCTGAGTAATAGTTTGTATTAATACGCCTAGAGCTACTAAACAGCTAAAAAAAAACCCTGCACTAAAATAGCTCAAACACTAGGTAACAAAAACAAACTAAAAGAACAGTACTACTAGAGACAGTTAAAGTTTTACCGGAAACATGGCCCTTATTAATTGTTGTGAAGAGAACAAATTGATTTCTACTCTTTAATCTATCAATTATATATTTATGTGTATTGTACAAAATAAAAAAAAATCCTTAATGTAACTTGTATTTAAGTCTCTTAAGATTTTTCAAGAAAGTTGACATAGAATGGGGAAGCTAAATGTTAGAATATGCTTAATTAATCAAAAAATAAGAAAAAGAATATGTCTATATGATTGAAAAAAAATCTAAGAGTCTGTTATGACCAATATTATATCTTGTATATTACTAACTGTTAATGTAACATTTATTGAATTAGTGGTGGCTTAATTAAGTTGAATTCGAAGAAGAAAATGCACCGATATGAAATTGTTTAAAAAAAAATTAAATTAATCTCAAATAAAGAGTGCTATACAGTAGATTTGTTAACACGTGTCGCTAGAATGAAGCCCTCAAAACTTCAAAAAGCTTATGAAAGGCGGTTGGGAGATACGCTAGTAGAAGGGTTCAGAAAGTTCTATTAACTTTTTTGTGGTGCGGTCGATTTGTATACATTTTTTATATTAACAAAAATAAATAAATTGTAAATTTAATCCTTTTCTTATTGCCACTTAACCTAATAAAATTAAAAGTCTTTAGTTTAATTTATTTTAGAATGCACAGAATGATCTTTCACATTCTGTCTGCTATAGAAATAGTCTGAGTTCGAATGTACTAAATACGCAATTGCTGTGCGAGTAAACTCTTTTCGGGATCGTTGAATAGGATAATTACCCTAATATGGTCAAAGTATTTGAACTGCGTTTATAGTAAGATGATAAAGAAAAAAAAAATTCTCAAATTAAAATATTTTTTTTATATTTTTTTCTATTTAAGATATGTTAGCAAATAGTAATTTTTAATGAATTGAAGACAATATCATTTTGTGTGTAGAGTCAATTGCGACTCTTTTTCAAAAATACACTTTTTTAGATACTTTATATTTAAAAATTTTTATATAAATAAAATATTAATATTGAGAAATAAAAAAGTATTTTGTAATATTTCAAATTAAAAAAAGTTTAGCATAGAGGATTAATTAACTGTGTAAAACATATTGTTTTTGTTATAACGTGATTAAAATTCCTTTTTAATCATCGTTAAAAATGTTGCTAGATTAATAAGTATAATCCAACTTTTTAGCCAAAAAATTAAAGTGGCAAATTCGAAGATTGTTAATTGGTCAGTTGATTTTAATGATTCTTTTTATCATTTAAAAATTTGTAGATTAAAAATATCCAACTTTTAGCAAAAATTAAGTGGGCAAATTCGAAATTGTTAATTGTCAGTTGATTTTAATGATTTATTAATAAACCAAAAGAGGATTTTGGATTCACCAATCATAATGTCTAATAATTACAAGCAAAAAATGTTTGCATGGAGGATTCTTTTTTTTTAGAACAGGAAGGGATATTCGAATCTGAATCTATTGCTAGGTCATACGTGCATTTATTATTAGGCAATGTCACTGTGTGCATATTGAAAACTTTTAAATACATGAAATTTGTCAAGATTCATATATTTCATGAGTTATAATTTCATGGATTTGATGAATATTTATAAAATTATAGAAAATATCTAAGAATTTCTCACCCATGTGTATTTGTCATTTTAAATATAAGAGCGATTTGAGAAAATTTTTCAAAATCCATGAATTGTGTCTTTTCAACAATCAGATGATAAAATTCCATAAAATTCATGGATTTTGCAGATTATTTTTTTCAAAATCTCTGAATCCAAACATTGTCAGTAGCATGCAGATTGCATTTTTAAACTCGTTCAGGCATTTCGTCGAGAACCTTCTCTGCAAGTTCTGATCACATGGACTGCAATATCCTCTCAGTACATATGCTCAAAGAGACCAACCTTATAATGCAAAAAATGCATGTTTAATGAAGCCACATTATTTTTAGTCCGGGAGTCAAGTTGGGGAAAGCTTCCATTGTTGTACTATACCTAAATCTGATGTCCCACTAATATTCAGTGCTTATTTCAAATCACATCTTCTATCAATTAAGGAAATGGTCACATATTCAGTGGCCATTACCTTTATTATCTTCGTGCAGTTTTAGTTACTGTGAGAATAAATTATCTTAGAATAAGTAGAATAAAATGGGTTGTTAGGTTTATTATTAGTTTGGTTTATTTGAGACTTGGCCATTCTTTACCTTCTGCCTTTGCATTGTCTATGATACATAGTCATGTATCTTTGAATAATAGATTATTTCTCACAGACCATAGCATAATCTGGAAGCGCTTTTGCATTTAAACTATGATATTATGTTTTTATTGATGGTAATTGATTCTGGGGGAGCCATGGGCCAGTCTAGTCAGATTCTGGCTTGGAATTGGCAGTTCCAGTTCATGGAACTCTGGAAAAGGAGCTGTTCTTCTTGAAGTCCTATTCTGGTTGGTTTCAGGGACAACTTGTTTTTAATAATCCAGTCTGGAACCAGCTAGTTCGGAACTGCAGACAGTTTCCGATCTGTTCTGGTCAGTTTTTTGAGAGATAGGAAGAGATCCAGTGCATAACCGTGGGACTACGGTTGCAGTCCAGCTCTAGCAGTATCTATGTTATTAGAGATGGAGTCAGCCAGTGCAGTAACCGTGGGACTACGGTTGATCCAGCTCATAACACGTGATGCTAATTGTGGTATCTCTATTTTAATCGATTCCTGGAAAAGCATGAGTATTTTTTCCTGTAATTCTTTTGACAGAATTTCTTTTACAGCATTGATGTTGTCGGAGAAAAAAAAAAAAAAAGACATAATAAGGTTTTTGCAACCGCCACAAATCTTACTCCCATCTCTTCAAGATTCCTGTTGTCATTGTTTACAGGTGAAGAGATTCCCGAGCACATTCATGTCAACCAACACATTATCTGAGAAAACATTCATGAACCCCACTTCTTTTTGAAATTAAACACGTGCCCGAGATTTGGTCTTCAGGCATGCAGAGGACTGTCCTCGAGCACCTGCAACGTGAAATATCTCTATTAAAGAACATAGCTAAGGGTTTACAACTTCCACAAAAGACTTGTTTTTATAGAAATTTCACTAAAAAGAGGAACGGACTAAGAACAAGCGTAAGTAAATATATGAGCCTGTGGTTGGAGATACTTATATTTGCCCTTGGCTGATGTGAGACCAAAAGAATGTGCAAGATGATTTGAGTGCAGGTTGTCAAACAATTTATCTTATTGCTTATAGTATCATGGAGTCAAAGGATAGACTTGTTTCTGAATGGAGACTCTCAGTAAATCACTTGTCAACAGCCTTAGTTTTTGAAATCAAGGATATATGCAAAGGACGAAGAAAGAAACATTTTTTCTGTTTTGTTTTGTGATAAACTTGACGACAAAATATTCGCATATAGGAAGGAAGCATTAAAACTCAGAATTGGAAGGAGAAAAAACATGAACATTATTCAGAACGTGGCTGCAAAATAATTCCTGAGTGGTACAGAAATCATGTTATTTCTTGGTCTTCTTCCAATATCCTATACTAAAGGGCTTTGTTTTGGGCATAGATTGTAAATAGCAGATTTGAGCAGAGCCAGCCTCAGAAGTCTGATCGTGCGCGGGAGGAAGGTTGAGTTGCGCCGTGCGCAGTGGTACGGTATTCATGAACAAGATATTCAAAAGGACAAGAAAGAAACATTTTTTGCTGTTTTTTTGATAAACTTGACGACAAATATTCGCATATGGAGAGCATTAAACTCAGAATTGGAAGGAAAGAACATGAACATTATTCAAGAAGTGCTGCAAAATAATTCTAGTGTAAGAATCATGGTTAATTTCTTGTTTCTTCAATATCCTATACTAAGGGCTTGTTTTGGCATTACAATTGTAAATAGCAGATTTGGAGCTAAACGTATGGAGTATTTTGTTGGCCTTATGAATATAGATTTTCACAATATGATTTCTTATGAACCTAAAACTGATTTTGGGAAAAAGCAAATTAAATATGAGCTTTTCCTATGATTAGTTTTAGGCCAATAAAAATAAAATTACAAAAATCCATTATTCATTGAATAATGAGAATCTTGCTTAATTTTTATCCAAATTTGTTATTTGAAAAAATAATGCCAACTAGCCCTTAAAACTGCTAAGTTAACATCTTTGGCAAAAAGTTTCTTTGCTCTCGGCATACTATTGTGTATATCATTTCTACAACCTAAGAATATATCATTTCTTGCAGGATGGTGAGAAGTGTAGCACCTGCTCTTCTAGAGACAAAAAAGGTGCTTTCTTGTCATGCATAAAGGACATATCCTGCTCTTCTGACTTAAATGATTCAGAAAAAGCTGCAGTTCTGAGCTGTATAAGTACACGGGACTGCTCACATCGGAATTCTGTCAAACTAATATGGGGGCCTCCAGGAACAGGGAAAACAAAGACAGTTGGTTTTCTGATACATGCCCTATTTACAATGAAATGCAGGACACTTACTTGTGCTCCAACTAACATAGCAGTGTTGGAAGTGGCAATGCGCGTGCTGAATTCAGTTGTCAAGCTTGTGCTCCAACTAACATAGCAGTGTTGGAAGTGGCAATGCGCGTGCTGAATTCAGTTGTCAAGTTGCTCGAATATGATACTTATGGTATTGGAGATATAGTTCTGTTTGGCAATCAGGAAAGGATGAATATTGACAATCAGAGTGAACTTTACAATGTATATCTTGATAATCGTGCAAACATACTTTACAGTTGTTTAGCTCCAGTGTCTGGGTGGAATCATAGTCTGGCATCAATGATAAATTTTCTTGAAGACCCTGAAGAGCAGTACCATCTTTACTTGCAAGAAATTCCAACAGAGAAAGACAAAGTGGATAAAACTGGTAAAAATTGTGAACAAAAGAATAAAAAGAGCAAGGTAAAACAGAAGGAAAGTTTGCATATTGGGAAAGATAAGCAAAAATTGAAAGATAAGGAAGTGGAAAATGGAGATGGCTGCTCTAAGAGCAAGAAAATTGAAGAAAAGGTTGGAAAACATTCTCATTTGACATTAGAGGAATTTGTAGAGAAAAGATTCAAATCCATTGGAGAACAGTTGATGGAGATGGCTGCTCTAAGAGCAAGAAAATTGAAGAAAAGGTTGGAAAACATTCTCATTTGACATTAGAGGAATTTGTAGAGAAAAGATTCAAATCCATTGGAGAACAGTTGAAATTTTGCATTACAAATTTGTATACACATGTACCAACGTCTTTCATTCCATTGAACTTGCTGAAAAACATGATGAGTTCTCTTGATTTGCTGAAGTCTCTTGAAAATTTGTTGGTTCGTATTAATATTCCTAATCAAGGTTTGAAGCAACTTCTCAAGAAAAATGAGGATGTGGGAAGCAGAGTTCGTAACCATATGAAGCTGAGGAACAAAATTAAGGAGTGTCTTACTACACTAAAATCACTTCCTCAAACATTCCCAGTTCCAAATTTCTCCAATATTTATGAAATAAAAGAATTTTGCTTGGGGAATGCTTGTCTGCTTTTTTGTACTGCATCAAGCTCCATTAAATTGCACAAAAAAAGAATGGCACCAATACATTTTTTGGTTATTGATGAAGCTGCACAGCTTAAAGAATGTGAATCAAATATTCCCTTACAACTCTCTGGTCTTCGCCATGCCGTTCTTGTTGGGGACGAAAGACAGTTGCCAGCAATGGTTAATAGCACGGTTTGGAATTTCTGACCTTATTACATTCCTTTGTCTTCCATTGTCAGTAAAATGCTCTTCATTTTTTCATATTTTGACAAATATAATGATCATTAGATTTCTGAGAAAGCTGGATTTGGAAGAAGTTTGTTTGAGAGGTTGGTAAAGATTGGATACAAAAGGTACCTCCTCAACATCCAATACAGAATGCATCCTTCCATAAGCTTATTTCCAAATAGAGAATTCTATGGCAAGCAGATTTTGGATGCCCCGAATGTCAAAGATATAAGTCATGAAAAACATTTCCTTGGAGGAAATATGTATGCTTCCTATTCATTTATAAACGTAGCCCATGGGAAAGAGGAATTTGATGAGTTTCATAGTTTGAAAAATATGGTTGAGATTGCTGTTATTGCTGAAGTACTCGCAAACCTATATGAAGGTATCAATTTAACTTTGGCTAGGAAATTTTAATAGTCTGTTTAGCATTGAGGTTGAAACTGCTTTTTCGAGAAAGCATCATTGCAGATGCTATTAGAAAAAGCAGTTTGGGAGTGATGGTTAGCTACTTTGAATTTCGAGAAAGCATCATTGCAGATGCTATTAGAAAAAGCAGTTTGGGAGTGATGGTTAGCTACTTTGAAGCTTTTATGATCAAATAGTGAGAAATTCAGCTTAAAAATGACATATGGTCAATATTTCAATGTTTATGTTTCTCTTAAAAACAGCTCAAACCTTAATTTCAAACAGAACTTAAGTACTCATTGTGGGATTAAGCGGTGTCTTTGTTTTTGCATTACAGAATTCATTAGAACAAAGAAGAAGGTTAGCATAGGTGTCGTATCACCATACAAGGCTCAGGTTCATGCAATTCAAGAGAAGATTGGAAAAAAATACAGTTCAAATTCTGATGGGGAATTCTCTGTAAATGTTCGCTCCATTGATGGTTTTCAAGGTGGTGAAGAGGATGTTATAATGTTTTCCACTGTTAGATGTAACGACAAAGGATCAGTGGGTTTTCTTTCCAACTGGCAAAGAGCAAATGTAGCACTAACACGCGCAAGGTGTTAATTGAAAACTGAAAATTATAGTCTCAGCAGTTGCTTAAATATTTTATTTTTCTTCTATTATTGATTTAGAAATTATAAGTTTTGGTTTGGTTGTGTAGATATTGCCTTTGGATATTTGGAAATGAAGCAACTTTAAGTAAGAGCAGCTCTATTTGGAGAAAGGTAGTCAGTGATGCCAAGTTGCGAGGCTGCTTCTATAATGCTGATGATGACAAAAGATTGGCAGAAGCTATTATAGCTGCCCCAATTGCGCTTGACCAAATTGGTATTTTTTAATGCCAAGTTGCGAGGCTGCTTCTATAATGCTGATGATGACAAAAGATTGGCAGAAGCTATTATAGCTGCCCCAATTGCGCTTGACCAAATTGGTATTTTTTATAGTTATTTACATTTTTTTTCCTTTTATATTATGTACTTTTCATGGTTGCTTCGCTTGCCTGATATAACAATGAAGTGCTTTTGGCTTAATTATGAGCATTGCAAAGTCAGACCAAAATAATTGGATATGTCTAAAAACTTCCTACACTTATATATAGTTGAATTTTACTTATCAGTAAAACTAATCGCAAAAAATTTTATTGTGACTTTCAGATGCTAAAAACTTACTGACAAGCACTTCTGGAGGTGATGCTATTAAACTTTCAGAATCATTTTCATCACTCAGTATAAGGGATGAATCAACTTCTCCTGGCACAATTCAAAAGTACGTATTTAGAGAGTTATTTTCAGTATAAAAAAATTGATGTTTCTGTTCCCCATTTCAACTGGTATAGGATTTTGATGTCACCTGCTAGATATGTTCTGACCATTTTGAAAGGACTAAATATTTTGCGTTAATGATGAATAGAGAAGAAGTCAAGTTGAAGTACCAAGCTCAGAGTAAAGCCAATACATCTGGATCAAACCCATGGAAATAAGGATCCAATATAAATCTGAGGTAAGATTTTTCAAGATCAGGGACAAATTTAGAATTTGAGTTTTTTGGAGGATCAAAGTGAAAATAGCATCTGTCTTTTGTTTTCTCTTTTTCCCCTCAAAACTTAATGAGCGAATTACTGTTTAGTCGGAATTTATTAAAATATAAATTTTGACCATTAAATTTCATCGAACCTCATACTAATTAACATTTATCCTAGGACTTTTTATACCAGTAATTTGTCTTTTACATCCTAAGACTTTTTATACCAGTAATTTGTTTTTTACACTCTGTTTCAAAATAACGAAGGAATCAAAATAATGGAAGAAAATATTAATCAATTGTTAATTTTCTTTCTTTCCATTGTTATTTTCCACCCATGTGTTTGGATAATGAAAGAAAAATTAATTTTCTTTCCATTGTTATTTTCCACTCATGTGTTTGGATAATGAAAGAAAAAAAAAATTATTATCCTTTGCTTGGAAAAGACAATTTTAGAGGAAAAAATTGTTAATATTGATATCTTACCATTTTAACTTCACCAATCCTTTTAGAGGACTTTGATGATTATATAACTTCAATATTTAGCTAAGAATAGTTTGCGTATCCAGGTAATTATATAAAAATTGGAGAAACTTCAACATTCCACCATTATTCTTCCCAAATGGAGAGATTTTATTTATATTCCTTTATTATTTTTCCTTCTTTTCCAAACGAGGTAAAATTGTTTAACACAGATATTTTTCTCAGCTACTTTGATTTCTTCAAAAAAATAACTCCATCGAAACAGAGTATTAATTAATTAATTAATTAAAAAAATTTACAGATGGAGTAAGCAATTGAGTGAATGAAATTTACAGGGACTAGATAATAATTCTTCCATTTTTAATTGGTCAAACGTCAATACTGATCGCTGCTGAATTGTTCTTATAAAGACGTTGGCAATGCAGGTAACAGACTTTCCAGAGATTATTCATATGCTGTAACTCAATTTTGTATCATTATTTTGTTTTACTCAAATTTTGTATCATTATTCTTGTTACAGACTTTCCAGAGATTATTCATATGCTGTAACTCAATTTTGTATCATTATTTTGTTTTATAACTCAATTTTGTTGCTTCTACAATTTCTCCAATCATATAAGAATGGAGATGGCAACAATGAGTACAAGGGCAATGATAATGGAATGGAGACGGCAAAAGGAGGCAGTTATTATAAGCAAAGGCTAGCAACAATTGGCGATTCCAAACTGTACTTCAACTTTACAATAGCACGTTACGTAAGAAATGAAGGCATACTTCAGACAAAGCATAATGTAATTAATGGATTCTTAGTTTATCTTTTTAGTGAAGCATATCCAGCTATAACTCACTTTATGTAAATCTAAACTTAAAAAGCAAACAGAGCTTATTGGGCATTGCGTTTTGAGCTATGTTACATTAAGATTTAGCAAACCGTAGCTTAGCTTTTCCAAAACCATTGTTTTCCTAATATAATCTAAAAAAATAATACGAAACACGATTTCAAAATGTAGCTTCAAACGAAGCCTTTATCGGAATCTAAACGAAACAACCAATCACAGATAACTCTTTAGTTAAGGCTTTCCCATTTAATCACTTATGGTACAAGTACTCGAACATCATCCAAGGCTTAAGTCAATAAACATGTTAGTTTTTGCAATTTTACAACACTAAACCTTACCAAAAACATCTGTGCCTCTAAGAAAGCATCAAATGATCAAAAAGCTGAGACAAATTTTTGGATCCTTGCCTGTGCTCGCTCTTTCTCCTCAGGGCCGTCTAGATCACCAATGTTGTCATGATATTCCTAGGATTAGCAATAGAAAGTTATTCCTTCAGGATTAGCATAGACAGTTAATCATAACCTGATGAATGGAGGTGTAAAAAAAAATGATATTCCTAGGATTAGCAATAGAAAGTTAATCATACTGATATGAGGTTAAAAAAAAAAAACTCGAATCAGCTTGAGTAGCCTTGCGCTAACAGAAATTTAAATTTATCATATATACCCGATGATTCAACAAACAACAATTGCTGCTCTTTTAAGAGGACATATACCTGAAGTATGTCCTGCACATTCTTCTTAGTAAGCTTGTGCTGTTTCAGTAACAGTTCGATTCTTGCTCTAATTCGGGGGTGCCTTGATAAAAATCAACAAGATCATATAAACAAATCAAAAACCACAAAAAGACAATAACTTGCAAACAGAACTTTATTAAAATATCACCGATTAATTTAAAAAAGACAACCACCAAAATAGGCTATCACAATAAGTTAAATACTTGGCAAGCTTCAAGTTCAAAGGTTGAAACCCTAAGCCCAAAGATGGATGTCCCAAGCCCATATGGTATGTAAATACCTAGGACATTCTAGAATACTCCCACCCACAAAATATTTTAATAAAATATCTCATCTACTCTAGAATGCTTCATGTAATCTCCACTGTACATTTTTGTAAGTAAATCATAGTCGTATATTGAGGAGGTGGAAATGCCAATAAATGCCATCTCTGACCTCATTTGTAAGCACCAAGCAAAAACCAAGTCCAAGAACTAAGTAATTAATTCTTTCCTTAAACTTTGTGAAAGTTTGCTTCTTATTAATATAATTTTATTTGGTGTTTTATGTTAGTATTATTTTGGTTGCCTTTCCCATTATTATTTATTTGGTGTTATAAATTATTAATCAATCATAAATTATTAATCAATCTTGGAGCTCATCACTACACTGATAATCAACAAGGAGAGTGGTATCAGAGCCAGGTTGTGGTGGTAGTTGTTGTAGCGTGGTATTTTGTGGTGTTCATTTACAAGTGTAGGGTATCGTTACTTAACAGTCAGGGACTGTTGTTGAAGCAAGATTCATAAGCAAGGATTGTGATCATGATTGGTCAGGGACTGTCGTGCATTGGTTAGTGTCAGGAACACTAGTACCTTATGGCAGATTTTTCTGGAGTTGCTAATAGCATCGAGAAGCTAAATAGCAACAATTACTTCAACTGGAGTACTCGTATGAGATATTATCTCATAGGTCAAGACTTATGGGATATCGTTGGAGGTCAAGACTTATGGGATATCGTTGGAAAGGAGATAATACTACAACCACTAGTTTGGGGATAACGAAAGCTCTGAAAGAGTGGGAGACCAAATGCGGGAAGGGCGATGGTATGTGCTGACGGTTTGCAAGTAGAAGAGATCGAGGCGATACACACTGATCAAGTCAGCTAAAAACAGCCCAAAGGAAGCGTGGGACATCCTCAAGTCTGCTTTCGCCAAGAGACGAAAGCAAAACCTGCAAACGGCTGAAAAAGAGATTGTTCTCATCTCAGCAACAGAAACCTCACTGTACATCAATACTTTTCTAAAGTTAAAATCTTTATGTGAGGAGATTTCCGAAATAAGATGCCAGAACACACGAGAATCAAAAACGAGACAAGGAATGAGGAGGATCAATCATCCAATGGCCTCTAGACCTGAATTTAACGGATTGTGTGACTGCTACTCGTGGGTTTGGGCTACACAAAGCCCAAACCTTAAGACCGAGTTAGCAGAATATCTTGTCCAACTGAAGAGGACTTGGATGAAAAAATTGTCTAAAGTAACTTTGAAAGGATGATGAGAAAGGCCTCGGTCTTTGCTAAAGAAGGCAGGGGGATTTCGAAATGTTGCGAGAGTAGTGGTGGAAAAGACAAACGACAAATCAACAAGGATTGAGGAAGAGCAAAAGTGGAGACGCGAAATCACAGGCAAAGGAGGAGCAGGTCGAGACAAAGGAAAGACGACTGGCGAGAAAAGTGATTCGTCACTATAAACGTGCACACAAAAGAGGACATTTCGCCTAGAAGGACTACATGTATGCGAGGAAATGTCCGAAGCAGACAGTTAGAAGGAAAACACAGCATCCAACAGGAAACACAGCATCAACCCAGAACGAGCAACAAAGTGAAGAGGAATGGGATATTCACACTTTCTTTGTTCAGGAGGAAGAATATTCGCCACAAAAGCCAGTAAAGATGATGATGAAAGGACCCGAGCAGGAGTCGTCATTAATATCTGTAATTGATAGAATCAACTATGATGAATGATTGGATAGTTGATTCTGGAAGTTCTAATCACATGACAGGAAACAAGGAGAAATTATCGGATGTATCCGATTATGATGGAGGTTGTGTTGTAGTCACAACAAATAAAACGAGATTGCCAATAGCTCACATTGGAAAGACAATCATTGTTTCTCCCTCCAGTAAGGAGAAAATGGAGTTACAGATGGTTTACCATGTGCCAAGGATGAAGAAAAACTTGCTCTTTGTATCACAAATAGCAAGTGCAGGTAATTAATCACAAATAGCAAGTGCAGGTATATGTGGCACAAATAGCAAGTGCAGGTAATTATGTGGTGTTCGGTCCTGATAATGTTAAGGTTTATCGTAACCTTAAATTAATCGAAGATCCAGTCATGGAAGGACAGTGAGTAGAATCAATCTACGTCATGTTAGCACAAGAATCCTATGTTGACAGAACAAGGAAGAGTGAGACAGCTGACTTATGGCACGCACATTTGGGAAATGTTAGTTATCACAAGCTTAAGGTGATGATGAAGAAGTCCATGCTTAAAGGTCTTCCTTAGTTGGAATGCCGAGAAGACACTCTATGTGCTGGATGCCAATATGGAAAAGCTGACCAACTTTCCTTTGAAGAGTGAAAACATAGAGCCAAGGTGCCATTGGAGTTGAGTTAATAACATTCAGATGTTCTTGGAACTGGATCAAGCAACCTACAAACAGTAATAGAGAGTTACATCGATTACTTCTCATCATCGATGACTACTCGTATGAATATGTTGGGTAGATCTTCATGGTAGAGAAGTCGGAAAAGTCTTCGTTTTGGAAAATTTTGAAAAATTCAAAGCTTTCAAGAAGAAAGTTGAAAAAGAAGTCGGAAATAAAATTAGATGCCTTCGCACCGACAATGGTAGAGAGTACACGTCTGACGAATTCACTAAATATTGCCAAGAGCAAGGCATTCTAAGGCAATTCACATGTCCAGGAACACCGCAGCAGAATGGAGTTGCTGAGAGAAAGAATCGACACATGGTGGAGATTTGCAGGAGTTTGCTCCATGCGAAGAATGTGCCGTCTAGATTTTAGGCAGAGTGCATGAAGACAGTTGTGTACGTCACCAACAGACTAACTTAAGCAAGACTTGAGTTTACATACCCATTCCAGAAACTGTGGAACATTAAACCATTCCAGAAACTGTGGAACATTAAACCAACAGTAAGTCATTTTCGCATTTTTGGATGCGTGTGTTATGTCTTTGTTCCGGATGAACTTCGAAGCAAGTTTGACAAAAAAGCACTTCGCTGCATATTCGTTGGTTATGATGAGCAAAGAAAAGGTCGGAGATGTTGTGATCCTATAACTAACAAGTGCCATATTTCACGAAATGTGGTCTTTGATGAGACATCATCTTGGTCGTCATCTCAAGCAACCCTACTACCAGACTCAAAAGAAATTCAAGAAAGTTAAAAAGAAGATAGGAGAGGGAGAGCTCATCCCAGAGAAAGGTCAAGCAGAGCCATCCAGAGTTCAAGAGAAATCGAAGAGCCCATGGAAGATAGGTGCATACGAACAACAATAGCCAAGTCAAGGAAGATAGGTGGCATAAACAACAATAGCCAAGTCAAGAAGAACAAGATCCAGATTATCCTCTACTTTGACGATCAGGTTGAGAAAGAAGGCCTAATCCAAAATATGCAAATGCTGCTATAGTAGAGATAAAGGAGCCAACAACATGTGAAGAAGCATCAAAGAAGATAGAGTGGACTACTGCGATGGAAGAAGAAATTATTGCTTTGGAGCAAAATCAAACATGGGAATTAGTGCCAAAACCAAGAGATGTGAAACCCAACTCTTGCAAATGGGTCTACAAAATCAAAACTCACCCGGATGGATCAATTGAGCGATACAAAGCAAGACTGGTTGCTTGTGGATTTTCTCAGCAGTATGGCTTGGACTTCTATTGATGAGATTTTAGGTCCAGCTGTTGCCAGATCACTATTGTGTGTGGATTACTAAGCTTTAGCAGCTAGTAGTCATTACTAGCTTTAGCAGCTAGTAAGTCATGGCCTTTGTGGCAGATGGATGTGAAGAACGCATTCTTACATGGTGAAGTTGATCGTGAAATCTATATGGAGTAACCACCAGGGTTCAAAAGTCGTGAGAATCCTAACTACATGTGCAAGCTAAGGAAAGCTCTCTATGGTCTAAAACAAGTACCGAGGGCTTGGTATGGCAAGATTGCAGAATTCCTTATCAAGAATGGATATGTTATGACACTAGCAAACTCCAGTTTGTTTGTGAAAGATTAGGAAGGAAGACTAGCTATAGTGTTAGTATACGTTGATGATTTAATAGTCATTGGCGACAACATCGAAGAGATTCAACTCATCCGAGAGAATTAGGCTACTCGTTTCAAGATGAAAGAGCTAGGGCATTTCCTTGGATTGGAGAAGGAAGAAAGCCAGAAGGTTTGTACCTCGGACATAGAAGAATGCAAGAGATCTGCTGAAGAGGTTTTGGGGTTTGGAATGATGGAATGCAAGCCGATATCTACTCCAATGGATGCTAATATCAAGCTGTGTGCTCATGAAGGGAATGATCTCGAAGATGCTACTGTGCATAGACAACTAGTGGGAAGCCTAATCTATCTCACTATGACGCGGCCGGACATTTCCTTTGTAGTTGGAGTAGTCAGCCGATTTATGCAGAAGCCTAAGAAACCTCACTTGGAAGTAGTTCGAAGAATATTGAGATATGTCAAAAGTACAATCGATTATGGGATCTTATACAAGAGAGGTGAAATTATCAAGCTGTAAGGATATTGCGATGCTGATTATGCAGGATATCACGACACTCGGCGCTCGACAACATGCTATGCATTTAGTCTTGGTTCAGGAGTAATCTCTTGGTGCAGCAAGAGACAACCTACAATGTCACTTTCCACAACAGAAGCTGAGTATTCGGGCCAGCAGCAACAGCAGCTCAGGAAAGTGTTTGATTGTCACAGTTATGAACGATTTCTGCATCAAACCTATCCATCTGTATTGTGATAGTCATTCGCTATACAAAATGACTGAGATCCGGTGTTTCATGTGAGAAACCAAAACCACGTGAAGTTCACTAATCCTTTATCAGAAAAAGGTTCTACAAAGGAGAGATTAAAATGAAATATATCAAGACGGAGGAATCAACCAGACCGATATCTTTACAAAGAGTTAAACGTAAATTACATATAAAGATTTTCGCCAACAGTTGGAAAATGATGAAGAGAAGAGAAATTTAATCGTTGAGGGAGAGTACTTTAAAATATCACCGATTTTAATTTAAAAAGACAACACCAAAATGGGCTACCACAAATAAGTTTAATACTTGGCAAGCTTCAAGCCCAAAGGTGGAAACCCTAAGCCCAAAGAGGATGCCCCCAAGCCCACCATTGGTGTGTAAATACCTAGGACATTTCTAGAATACTCCCACCCACAAGATAATTTTAATTAAAAATATCTCACCATTACTTCTAGGAATGCTTCATGAAATATCTCACCTACTCTAGAATGCTTCATGTAATCTCCACCGTACATTTTTGTAAGTAATCATAGCCGTATATTGAGGAGGTGGAAATGCCAATAAATACCACACTTGACCTCATTTGTAAGCACCAAGCAAAAACCAAGTCCAAGAAGCAAGTAAGTAATTATTTCCTTAAGTTTTGTGAAAGTTTTCTTCTTATTAATACAATTTTATTTGATTTTTTGTGTTTGTATTATTTTGGTTGCCTTTCCAGTTATTATTTATTTGGTGTTATAAATTATTAATCAATCCTGGAGTTTATCACTTCACTGATAACCAACAAACTTCACTAATGAGCAATATTAGTATAGTTGATCAGAAATTTACTCGGAGCACCAAAGATGACCCAGAATAACAGCAATCAACTGCAAGTTCATATAAAATTATGTTAAGAGCAATAGAAACCAGAACTATTTTGAAAACATTACGGCACAAAAAAAAGCAGCAGTTTCAACTTTAAATAATAAAAAAAGGCATATCTGCTAAACTTCTCAACATTTGTATTAACATTTTATGTATTTAGGTTTTTGACTTTTGATGCAACGTAGTATAATCAGGGTTTAGAAATGACAAATAAAAATTATAACCAAAGTAGAATACAGAGATTTGGAATTTTAGCAGTGGGAGTCAAAGATGGGATAGGCAGGCTGAGTACTAGGCCCTAGCTCATAACATGCCAAATTAAAATACCTTATAAGAAATATAAGACAGAAACAAGAAAAAGGTCAAACACTGAAGAGAAGAAAGAAACCAAGATCTTATCCCATAATAATTCTGAAAATAAAAAAAAGTTCCTTGAAATAAAATATTAAACCTAAACATATACTTTGGATTTTCTTTTCCAACTTGGTAGAACTTTTGAATATGCAAAATTGTCATACCACGCTTCTTTTAACTAACTCTGTGAAGGGGCAAACTAATGGAAGAAATCTTATGGCAGTAATTGATACCCGAAAAAAAAAAAAAAAGCCTTCGTCCCCCAAGTATGGAATAGAGAAAAAACAGGGTGCTTTTTCAAATTTTCCCAATGTTTCATGTAACTTATTTTATATCTCAATTTCAAGACAAAACAAACTTTATATCAGCTTAAACTCCTATGCATCATTTGTTTTGATGGAAGTGAGAGGAAATGTGGAGAAAGGATATAAAGTTCAAGTTTATTTCATTGTTTCGACAGGGCTATAAACGAGCCAAGTTGAACTAAGTATTTTTTATGATGCCATCTTCTAGAAGATAGATGGTGATGTCCTACCCTTTAGTATTTTTGATAAAAAGTTGAGCTTAGTCCAAAATTTTATCTCTATATGTGTGTGTGTGTGTGTGTGTGTGTGTGTGTATCTGCATTGCAAATTTAGTGTAGAGAAGTGTGAAGAGCTAAATAGAGTTAATCCAGATAAAGTGATAGTGCCTCAATGCAGACATTTCAAATACCTTGGATCTATTATCCAAAAGGACAGGGGAAACATATAGATGCTGATCATCATATTGAAGTTGAACGGATGCAATGGAGCAATGCTATTGCCTCTAGAGCCTTATGTGACAGCAAAATACCAGCAAAGCTTAAGGATGAGTTTTATCAAATTGCAATGCGATCAGCTATGATGTATGGCATTGTTGTTGGGTAGTAAAGAAAAATAACACACAAAAGATAAATTTCTCGAAAATGAGGATTTTAAGATGGATGTGTAGCCATACAAGATTGGACAGAATTCAAAATGAATGTATTTATGAGAAGGTAGAAGCAGCATCCATCGAGAAAAAAACTAGAGAAAGAAGGTTAAGGTGGTTTGACCATGTGTCATAGACCACTAGAAGTTCCCATAAGGAAAATTGAGCATCTTAAAGGAGATGATATTAGGAAATGAAGAGGAAGACCCAAGATGACATGGAAACAAGTGAAAAAAAAAAATCTAGATATGCTAAGTCTTTGTAAAGAAGTAATGCAGAACGGAGCAGAATGGAAGAAGCAAATCCATGTAGCCAACTCCAACTAGCATGGGATTAGGGCTTAGTCGTCGTCGTATTGTTATCGTGCCTAAAAAGAAGTATGCTTGTACTTTGCAGGTTTTGAGTTAGAAAGCCCTTGGTAGAAGCCCTTGTTGCAGGTTTTGAGTTAGAAAGCCCTTGGGTCCTACTCCAACTGGACCCAGGGGATATCAAACTTAGAGATCTGATATTAAAACTCAAATAATTTATGGTTGTAATTCTGTTCTACAACAGATATAAATAGGGTTTGCAATATCCTTCAGTAGTTGAGATTGGGGCTTTAAGTTATATAGTAAAGTAGATTTCTTTTTAAAATTTGGTAATACCTTTGACTGTGGCATGAGACCTACGTATGGTAGATTTCACTGCATATAATTACCATGGTGCAACAACAAGACTGCTGTTATCATTGAAAGTTGACAACTATATTTAGACTACATATTGGTGACTGGCGTTAACTATCCTAGAATTGCAATATACAGTCTACAACTTGTGCAAGTCTGATTATACTAACCAATTTCAATAGTAACAGGATATCAGGTCTACAGAAGCTAACCTGGAGATTGTAGAGTCCAGATTCCAGTTTTCGATTGTATCTTTCCTCTTCATTCATCTGCACCATATTCAGGGTGCTGTGAATTATATACTCCCAAATTATAAACATGCTGTGACAACAAAATCAAAAAAGTAAAATACCTCTATAAAATACCTCTAAGTCATCGAGTTCAAGCTGGTCCATCCGTTCAGTCTCTTCTTTTACCCTATCTGAATATCTGAGTCAAGATTATCCAGATGTTAATCACATGCATTTAGGCCTCAAAAGTAAATTTAGCCGAGAACCCAGAACCCCTTACTGCAGATGCAGTAGGAGCAGAAAGAAATCTTGTATAGTTCATCAGCAAAACAAAAGAAAAAAAAAAGAAAGAGACAAGAAAAAAGGACGAAAGTTCTTCAAAAATTGCATGGTAGAAATTCAAAACTCATAAGACTTTAATGCTTTGTGTGGTTGAGGGGAAAAGAAACAGAGTGGACCATTACCTTATATAGAGTTCCATTAGGCGATCTATTTTCTCACATTCATTTTCAACAAATTTACTCATACTTAGCAATCTTTCCCTTCTTGAACCTCTCAAAATTCCACCTAGAAAATAAGAAGAGCGACATCAAAAGCAAGATCAAATGACAATTATGATCCCCTTTTTTAAAATTTTTTACTATGTCAAAGAGTTCCTGCCGTGTTGATTCAATGAAGGACAATGATAAAATAAACTATTCTAGTATTTTCTCAGTTTCATCTATTATGGATGGAATACATAACAAGCTTATTTTTCTATTTAGGGACATAAATGAGTGTAATCACTAGTGAGCTATTGGAGGCTCGGCTGAAAAAAAGCTATTTCGAGTTTGTTCAATAAGCTTGATGAGCCAAACTTGAACCTGCTCATCAAGCTCGATAAATAAATAAGCGAAGCTTGAGCTTTGAAATGAGGCTCATGAGCCAGCTTGGCTAGCTTTATAACAGTAAACCAGCCGAGCTCGAGTTTGATAGAGCCTGACTCAGCTCATTTACACATTTAGTTCTATTAGTGACTCTAGAATCACTACAAGCTAAAAATGGTTCTAAAAGGTTATTTTGGCTATAAAAACTCCAAAACAACTGAAAAAAAAGTTTAAACTGCTTTAACAACAAGACAACTAATGGAAGCTTTCTCAAAAAAGTATTTTCAATCTCGCAGACAAATGTTATCGTTTACCTTCCCTTTTTAATCCTTGTGGTCTGTTGTTTTAAGAGGAATTTGCAAGGTAAGGCTCCTAGTACTGAGTATATACAAACAGACACAATGCCTAGAAGTGTTTAACTTGCCTGCTTACCAAATAGTGTTACACAACGACACAATTGCAGAAAAGTGTTTTAACTTGCCTGACTTACTCCAAATAGGTGCTGCATAATAGGGATATTAATTGCGCTCTTTTAGTCCTCTTTTGGCATCGTTTTTCTTTCTTAATTTCTCTCGCCTCCATGGGGATCTAAACAGATAGGAATTTTATAAAACAGAATTTTACGTTTTATCAGCTTCATAAGACAAGCAAACCAAAAGAAAGATTTTTCAAAATTTGCCAATTGCCCTATTATATGTATTTGAAATGAAAAGATGTTGTCAGAAATTTTATATTGTACCAACCCATGAGAAGAAACAAGTCTTGTTGGGAGAATGAGGTGTTCAGGGTTTCTGGAGTTTTTTTTATCAAGGCTTGCAGAAATTTGCTGACTGAAAAGTAAAAAACAATTCTACTATCAAGAAACATCAGAAGGCACAAACATCATTACTATAATAGTATATATTATATATATAGCTACTATTATATTAATATATATATATTTAATGATTTCAATGCCCATTTCCATATATTTAATGTTAATGCCCATTTCCTAATAAAATTTAAAAAAAACTAAAGTGAGAATAACTAGAAATCGCAAAACCTGGAATCTGAACTATCACTGGACTACTTCTAACTAAATTTCATCTATCACAGCATTATGCAACCCCAATAAATGCATTAAGTATTTCAGTATTTGAAGGAAAGAAAGAATGTTGCTGAAGACTATTGGGGATAAAAGCATCCGAGTTGGACAGAGAACTTGCCTTACCCATGAAAGCAGCAAATGCTGTCTTCAAGCCCAAAACATCCACAAAACGTTCACAAGCAGGTGGATATTTGGTCATGGCAAAATCAAGCGCCCTTATAGCGGACCCATAAGCAGATTTCTTCTGCTTCATGATAATAATCATCAACTCTACTCCCTCAGCCTTAACAAACTTCTCCTTGTTCTCTAAAGGCATCAACAAACAACATAAACAATCAAAAAGATTCTCCACCATTTCCTCCTCATCAGAGGTCTTGGGGTCCTTAGACTTGTACATAGCCACAGCCTGCAGAACCACATCCACACCATTCATTTGTCCCAATCTCTTCTGGTTAGTTGAGTTGAATTTGATTATATTGGAGTTTGTTTGTTGTTGAGGTTTGAATTGAGAGTGTTTCGTGTTCACAGATTTTTAGTAAGTCCAATTTTTAAGGGAAACTCTTACAATTTTTCTGTAGGATTTTTTTTAAAATAATTTCTAAGTGAAATTTAAGAGTTATTAGACTTGTGAATATTTAATCATCTTTGATTCATATATATCTTGTTGAATATATTTACATCCATCTTTGATTCATATATAATAATTATATATATACTATATTAGTTATATGATATATTAGTTATATGATTAATTTATTAGCTAGATCGGTGCCTTCAGCACCGAATGTGACATCCATCATCTAATCCTTTGGGATCGGGGCAGAAAGTGTTACATGATAATAATTAAAAAGGAGAAAAAGCATAAAGTGAAAATCAAATCCCAATAGTGAAAAGAATCAGATTCATTGGCTGATACCCATGTCTATCTCACGTATTTTAATCTAAAGGTTGGTATCACCAATAACCAATGTAGAAAATGACATCATGTAAGAAAGAGGAATTATGCTAAATGGGTGTAGGTGGTGTGTTCAGAGAGCGACGTCATTCTTTTCGTAATTAAAAAGGATAAGTTTTTTTTTTTTTAATTTGACGTATTTTTATTACCCATTTTAAGTTCCGGGTCAAGGACTCGGGAACCCACTACTCATTACTCGTTTAATAAATATTCAAAAAATATTTAAAATAATTATTTTTTAAAAGAAAAAAAATATATATATACACTTTTTAATTATAATTAATGCTATATATTATATACACTTTTTTAATTTATAATTAATGCTATAATTTATATTACTATTTTAATATTTATTATTGTCAAAATAAATAAATTTTATGATTCTTTACTTGCTTTTATTTTTAAACAATTAAAATAAAAAATATTTTTTAATGCTAATCATGGAGTTTATCTGAAACAAGTTTGGATTTTTATTATATTTATTATGTCAAAATAAATAATTTTATGATTTTTACTTGCTTTTATTTTTAAAAATTAAAATAAAAAATATTTTTAATGCTAAATGGGTATTGGAACAAGTTTGGATTTTTAGACGGGTAACTATAATTGGATTTGGGATGGGCTCAGGTAGTAAAAATGAATTTTTAAATGGGTTCGGGATGGTTCAGGAACCTAATTTGTAATCATGTTTGGTTTGGGTTTGGGTAGTGCTTTTTAAGCAAGTACCCGACCCGTTGCCATCCCTAATTACAGTGGCATTGTAGAGTGCATAATAGGGAAAGAAGAGTCGTTTGAAATTGATTTATCTATTCCAAAACTACAAAAGTCTTAAACAAATTTAAGGCATCGATATATTCAAAAGTGTTCTCATTGGAGTTTCAGTATCCAATTTTATTGTTATTCATATATACTCAACTGCAAATTTCTTTTTTCTTAGCATTTAGTATGATTGTCATATATAGGAGTGGCCACGATTCGAAACCGCTGGTTCTGGTTCCAAAAAATCTAGAACTGGAATCGAACCGAAAATTGACTGTTCCGGTTACGGTTTGGAACCGAACGGTTACTGTTCCAATTTCGGTTCCTTAACAGTTCCAAATTAACGGTTCGGCCGGTTATCCGATTGATTTTTCGGCATTATAAAACCAAAAGTTACGGAACATTTTTTTGTTGAAAATTTAAACTTTAAATATTTATGAAATAATTTTTAGAAAAAACTTGAAGAAAAAAAAAGGCTTAACTTAATTTATTTATTAAAAAAAAAGGCTTGAAATTTTCTTTTTTTCAGAAAAAGGGCTTGAACTTAATTTATTTTTTTAAATGAAATGGGGCATTTATAGTAAATCCAAAAAATTAATTTTCCACAAATACCATTAAAACTAGTCATTATATAGTTTTTAGGAGGGTTAATTTTGAAATTTCATAAAAATATTTGAAAAATAAAAAGAATTGTTGAAACCGGGTGGAACCGGAACCGCCGGTTCTAACCGGTTGGAAATACAGCCGATTCCAGCCAGTTCTAACGGGTTCTTAGAACCATCGGTTTACGGTTCCTCAAAAGTTAGAACCGGAACCAAACCGCATACCCCAATTCCAGTTCCAATTCTGACCGATTTCAATTCCTCATTCGATTCCAGTTCCCATTTTTTTGAACTGTCGGTTCCGGTTTAAAAAATTGGAAAATAGCCACCCCTAGTCATATATTTATTTGATGTTTGAGGATGTAATTTTGTTTCTTTAAAATTTTAGAACGAACCTTCTATATATTTGTCATACACGATCTCTTGGTTGAAATTGTTTCAGATTTTATTTTCCTTGGCTGTATTTACTATGAATATCGATGGATATAGATGAGATGAAGGAGCTTTTTATCTTTTCAATACAAATTAACGGCAAAAGCTCTTAAAATAGACGAAATGACTAAATGATTGGATGAGAGCAAAAATTAGGAGAGTGATAATGTATTTTTAAAAAATGAGGACTAAGTAGTATATTTGACCAAAGTCGAAAGATTAAATAATAATATGTTCCCATATAAATATAGTGCAAACAGAAAGTTAAAAAAAAAAAAAATGGTAGTAAGTATAGGACCTTGCTAAATAGCTCAATTGAACTAGCTCAAACGAGGAGTTATTGTATTTTCCACTTTTAATATTTAAAAATAATAACAATTAGTTGTTTTGACCATTTTATCCTCATTATTTTTTTCTCTAACAGTACAAAAAACAATGGTGTTTTCAATGCCTTAGTAATTTCAAGTGCTTTTCAATTTACTCAATTTTTTTTTCTCTCTTCAACAATTATCTCTTCATTGTCATCTTCTTCTCCATCCTCTAGCTAGGTCTCTAATCTATAAATAATTTTAAAAAACTATTATTTTTATTGTTGTGGTCTTCATCATCAATCACTCTCTTTAACTATTTAAAGTTGTTGCCTATAGAGAAGAGGTGACCAGAGTTGGATCAATGCTTCTCCATTTTTATTTCATTTTTGGCTCTTCTTCTGTTTTGTTCTTCGCGGTGTAAAATTTTGGTGGTTTAAGTAATTTTGTTTTATTGTTGTTCGTTTTTTTAATAATTATTAAGAAATAAAAATAATTCATTAAAATGTATTATGACAGCATTAGTTTATTAAAACAATGTGTGATGATTTTGAAAATGAGAATCTATTTTGACTTAAAGTATTAAATAAAATTGTTTAATAATAAACATAGTACTGAAAATTAGTCCGACCGGTTTAATTAAAGGCAGGACTGTGGTTCGATTTGAGTTGGATAGTCAAACTCGAACTGTCACGACCCGACTCCGTGGGCCGGACCGGCACTAGGGCCCAGGTAAGCATAAGGCCCCGAGGCCCGTAGTAAGCCTAATTACTCAACTTATACCAAATCTTCGAACTGTCACGTGACCCGAACTCCGTGGGCACGGACGGGCCGAACTACGGGGCCCAGGTAAAGGCATAAGCCCCGCAGGCCCGTAGTAAGCCTTAATTACTCAACATCTATACATTTTATACGCATTTTATAAAAAGTAACGCATACGACAAGGCCAATTTAAATGCGCAAAACCCTATAACTGCGGAGTTTCAATAAAATATTCTGATTAATAGAATAATTTATTACAATCCAAAACTAAAACAACAATATAAAGTTTACAATTTATAACTCTGCGGCAGAAAGAGTGCAGGAGCTCCTCAGTCGAATCAACCTTTGCTTTCCTAGTTACCTTGGGATGGTTTGGAGAGAAAGGGGAGTGGAAATTTTACACTAGGTGAATAACATAATAAATATGCACACCACATCACAGTCAAGCAACAATGCACCCTAGATATACTGAATGAACACACAACAGAATCAATCCATATGACATTATACATCAGCACCCACACCAATATATCACTTCAAATAATTCACATCACGTGGAAAAATTAAGATATAATCATATCACGTGGAAATTGGTCAGTGGCGTCACCGAATCCCTCGATGAGCCGTCCTCTCAAACAGCCCATCCTCTCAAACATGTGCACCCGGAGAGCCAATCCCCCATATCTGGCCGACTGGTCTAATCCTCACTTGACCAGTCCTCTCAATATTTTATTTTACATTCTCTCTTTTCTTTTCCATATCAGCAACATCATTTCATCAGTTCATCAGGTGCACACGGGGGCGCCGATCTCCCATTTTTCCGGCCGACGGTCCAATTTCATCAGTTCATCAGGATCCATATTTATCGACCGTCCTCACAAGGGTTGACCCCTCTCATTCCCAAGCTCCACAACCAAACAGGAGGCACACGCTATTATACCACACACACAAATAATCAAAACCATTCATTTCATATTATCAATACACTCAATTTCATCCAAATGCACAATTATGCAATTAAGTATAATATAGTGATCATAAACTAATATTTTGAGAAACATACAATCATAGTCTAAATATATAAAAATGTCAATGTTATGCAAATGCTGTTAGACATGCATTATTTTATTATTACTCACAGCTGATGGAGAGCGAAGTTCTTAGGCTTTGATTCCATGTCCTGGGAGAAAGACTCAGATGAGACCCGGGTGATCTAAGCTTTTATAATAATTTATATTTCTACCGAACACTATTTTATTTATTTCCTTTTGACTTGTATTTTATTTCTTACCGAAATTTATTTTTTTATTATTATTATTATTTTTTTTTTTCTACCAAAATTTCTTTTATATTTCTACCGAAATTTCGGCAGCATCTCCCCTAAAAAATTGGACTATCCACCTGTTAAAAATATCAACGATATCAAATATTTCCAAACCACACAGCCCATCCATCGGGCAATCAATCAAGTAACTTAATCCCGTCCTCCACATTATCCATATCAACATTAATTCATAAATTAACCAAGTAACTTTAATTAATCAACACTTACATTATAACTCAAATAACTACTCACAATTGCTAAATCAAATTAACTAAATTAATTACCTATAAATAATAAAATTAATCAACTACAATAACAACACTAATTTAAGTAACTAAAATTATTAAACTTAATCTAACTAAAATGACTAAGTTTAATTAACTATCATTA